GTATACACTAAGAGTATGTACCAGCTATTTAGTAGGTTAGAGTCTCGCTCGTTATCGGAATAAACCAGACAAATCACTCCACGAACTAAGAACGGCCATGCACCACCATCCACTGAATCATGAAAAAGCTATCAATCTGTCAATCCTCACAGTGTCCGGGCCGGGTGAGTTTCCCCGTGTTGAGTCAAATTAAGCCGCAGGCTCCACTCCTGGTGGTGCCCTTCCGTCAATTCCTTTAAGTTTCAGCTTTGCAACCATACTTCCCCCGGAACCGGAAGACTTTCGTTTCCGGGAAGCTCCCCACCAAGGCAATATAATTTCCATCGGCGGATCGCTAGTTGGCATCGTTTACGGTCAGAACTAGGGCGGTATCTGATCGCCTTCGAACCTCTGACTTTCGTTCTTGATTAATGAAGACATTCTTGGCAAATGCTTTCGCTGTAGTTTGTCTGGCCACGGTCCAAGAATTTCACCTCTCACGGGGCCATACAAATGCCCCCGTTTGTCTCTGTTAACCATTATCTCAGTCCGTAAAACCAATAAAACTGAACCGAAATCGTTTTCTATTATTCCATGCACGATCATTCAAGCGAAAACGCCTGTTTGAAGCACTCTGATTTGTTCAAAGTAAACTTGCAATGCCTGTTAAGAATCCTGTTAAGGACTCAAAACCGAACATTACGATAAATCGATAACACCCAGAAACACCCGGAGGGTTCCAGGGTACCGATACGAATCCAACTACGAGCTTTTTAACCGCAGCAATAATTCTATGTATTAGCAGAGCTGGAATTACCGCGGCTGCTGGCACCAGACTTGCCCTCTGCTTGATACTCGTTAAAGGGTTTAAATTGTACCCATTCCGATGACCGGCCTCAAAGAGAACGATCTCGTTATTTCTCGTCACTACCTCCTCGAGCCGAGGGTGGGTAATTTGCGCGCCTGCTGCCATCCTTAGACGTAGTGGCCATTTCTCAGGCCCCTTCTCCGGAGTCGAACCCTGATCCTCCGTTATCCGTCACCACCACGGGAGTCGATTATGCTCCCGTCAAGTTGATAAAGTGGACGCTTGAAAGACACGCCGCCGGCACAAGGCCATGCGGTCAGCTTAGTTATTCTGAGTCAACAAGAAGCAGCCGAAGCCGCGTGGTTTTGTTCTAATAAATGCGCTTTTCCGAGAGGACAAAGCTTTGGTGCATGTATTAGCTCTAGCTTTTCCACAGTTATCCATTTAGATAATCAAGATCAAGTAAATCATGGCCATTGTAGTGAGCCGTTCGCGGTTTCTCGTTAAAACGATTAAACTTGTACATGCATGGCTTAATCTTTGAAATGAACACATCAGTTCAGGCAGGATCAACCAGATATCTCGTAAATTCAGGTAAGATTCACTACCGAATTTTAATTCGCACCGTCGGCGCCAGAACGACACACGGCGATACAGATTTGGTCTCACAACCAATCTCGGGTCACTTACTGACTTTACGAGCACTCAAAAGTTTGCTTCGAACCGACCAAACGCTCATCTTGCCAATTCAGCAATGAATTGGCATAAAATTCATATCCTTCAATGAGGACGCTTCGTCTCAACACAAAATCTCAACTTTTCACTTCACTAATCCAGCCATATTTAGCATCAAATTTTTTTCTCTTTCATCGAGATTAGCGAATTTCTTATTTTCAGCCGAGAATTAATCCTCAGGTGAATTCATGCTTGTCCTTCGTGAAATAAACCAAAAATCGCAATAATCTCGGTCGTGAACTCTCGCCCTTCGGGCAAACTCTAAAATTAATGAATCCCTAGCCCTTTAAAATGAACAGAAATCGATTTAAAACGGTTAAAAATCAAAGTAGCACATTTGAGTCTTCAGATTGTACCATAATCAAGTTGATTGGATGCTAAGAATTTACATAATAGGGCATCAAGTAACACGGAAGGACTTGAAATCTGCTACGTCGAGAATTATTTATTTCCTATACATTTTTCCTTTCCATTTCCTGTGCAAACAACCACTTTATTTTACAATTCGCAAACACACAGCCACTTTTAATTTTACTCAACAGACAACCACTTTTCTAATTTAATATGAAGCGAGGCGAAAAGAGAAATGGACCAAATGCAACCCCAAGCTTTGTAACATCATGAGAAAAATAAATGGAAAGAGAATTAAAGCAAAAAAGAAAGCAAAAAGTGGTCGTAGAATTAGTAAAAGTGGTTGTTTTTATAGTAGTTATTTAATATTAGTAGTCAATTTTTGAAAAATTTGGGCATGACCCCTTCACACAGCAACATTAAATTTGAATTTTTGGATTTTTGTTATAATGATTATGATATTCTTACTAAGCAGACAATCACGCGAATAACATCTGAAATAAAAATAATTTGACTTTAAATTTACCTCAAGTTTTATCGAACTTTTCTGTGTACCCCTATACTATTTAAATATATTTTAAAAAAAAGTAAACAAAGCTTTTATTCCACAGGAAAAAAAATAAATAAAATGGTTTTTTATAAAAAAATAAAATTTTAATCACATAATAGTAATAATTTTTTGAGATTTTTTTGAAAACAATTCGATGATTTTGAAAAATTTTGACCATTATTAGTGTTGTTTCCATTGTTGTTGTTATTTCCTCCATTTAAGTTGAATAATTCAATATTCATTTTAAATAATTCCTGAAAAAAGATGTAAATTAAAATTGAGGTGAACTAAAAGCACTTTTAAGGATTTGTGCTATCTGCTTCCGTTAATTCTCAGCATACTGTGCGTCACGTGTTCCCATTTCCGCTTCCAATTCCTGTGCCGCCGCCTCCGCCTCGAATTTTTAATAAAAGTGAAAATAAAAGTGTAATTGAAGAATATAAAAATGTTATTGAGAAAGATAAGTTAGATATTTGTAAGAATGATAAAAAAATTTTCTTTATACCCACAAGTTATTAATAATTTTTACAATTCAACAATCAACAATCATTATTAAAATATTTTAATAATAATATTTAAATAAAGATATTGGCTCATCTTAGGACATGCGTCCCATTCCTGGTAAATCCTAGTGCCCTCCCTGCGAGCACACCGAGCAATCCCATCCTTAAAATTTTCAAATTTGCAGTCATTTCCCGGGCTGTTACCCAATACGAGAGATGTCCTAAGATAATGCTATGAGCAGATTTTTCCTAAATGATTACTCAGGCTACTTCTGGGGCCACTGAGTCCCATATATTTGACAATGATTACCCAATGGCGGCCTGGGTAATCGTTTATAACAAAAGAATGCTGATAGATAGTATTGTCTTGGTCCACCCTTCACAGTGCCAGCCCGGGTAACCACATAAAAAAGACAATAGTTTTTCATTATTCCCATTTTTAATCTTTACAGGTGGGAAATAAGGACCTCTCTTTTAAACAAAATTCAAAAATTCTCCTAAATAAAAAAGTAGATATGAAATAATACCATAGATATAATCCCCCACGGTATAAATAATCTCTTAGACACCAAAACACAAAATGTTTCCGGTAATGTTTCGGAACATTAATTACTTCAAAAATTTGAATAATTATCAAATTTAAATTCAAAAGTTACAGCTCTGCTAGTATGGAACAGCCTGGGTAATCACAGCTCTTTCAAATATTTTCCTAATTTGCCTTGTTATTCTCTTATACTTACTAGATTTGTTCACTTTTTAGTTTATTTTAAATCATCCCCGCGAAAAAACCTTTCCCACTGGATTGGGTCCTTACTACTTTCACTCCGTTCAAATTTTCCCGTAACTTTATTCTGCTTTTTAATACTCAAGAAACCCACCCGCCCACTTTCTCTTCGTTTTTTGCCTGCTTTTTTTCTTTGCTTTTTTAAATTCTTAACAACTCACTCATTCTTTTCCGTGTCCGGACAAAATATCGAATCGTTAAAATATGGAATAGGCTAAAAAAGGGTTAAAATCTCGAATCGGGTAAAAAGGGGTTAAAATCGCGAATAGGCTAAAAAGGGGTTAAAATGTGGAATCGTTAAAATATGGAATGGTTAAAATATCGAATAGGCTAAAAAAGGGTTAAAATATGGAATCGTTAAAATATGGAATGGTTAAAATGTCGACACGGCCAAAATCGATCAAAATGTCGAATTTTTTAAAAATGGCGCCAAAACTAGAATCCGGGCGTTACCGTAATACCGACGGTATTTTTCGATATTCCTTGTCGGTTGTACGGTACGGAATCCGACCGATAAAATTTAAAAGCTGATCGGTATTTTTCGGTATTTCGTACCGTATACGGTAAGGTCAAACTTTAGGTCTTATAAAAACTAATGCATACCACTCTAATTTTTCCATATCAGGATCGCGTTATGTTTTCCGGATCCGTACGATCATGCCGGACCGGATCCGGTCGATTATGCTTGATTTATCCGGTCCGGTTTTACTCGGTAAAATACAATGAACTCTGGCAGAAAAGATTACGCCGGACTACGACTTACCAAACTTATCAATCAACTTATCATCAATAAGCTGATAAGTTGATAAAATTATCAACAATCAACGTATGGCACTCATCTGACCCTTTTTTAAAAGAATTCGACATTTTGACCGATTTTGGCCGTGTCGACATTTTTACCATTCCATATTTTAACGATTCCATATTTTAACCCTTTTTTACCCGATTCGATATTTTAACGTTTCCATATTTTAACGATTCGGTATTTTAACCCCTTTTTAGCCTATTCGCGATTTTAACCATTCCATATTTTAACGATTCCATATTTTGTACCGGAGCCTTCTTTTCTCTTCAATGTAAGACAATATGAAGTAAGCAGAGAAGGAAAAATAAATAGTGCATTCTTTTCTCTCCATTATTTCAAACACCCCAAGCTTAAAGTCATTTTTCTTGAAAACTGATATAACTTCGTGATAGAAAGTCGATGCTCCTCTATCGAATGGTACCAAAATAAATATTGAATTCGCACTGAAAGTAAAAGGTGGGATTCAACACATTTTTTGCCTATTTTTAGAAAATCAAAATTTTTTTATCCAATTGTTACACATTTGCTTCATTTTCACTTTATTTAAAATTTCTTCGCGAACAACTTCCCTCTACTTTTTAATCCTCAAGAAACCCACCTGGCAATTTTCTCTGTTTACCCTGTCTATTTTTCTTCCTATTCTTCACGAATCGTACACTGATAGTAAAAGACGAAGGCGAAGAGATGGAAAGAGCTGGAAACAGACAAAGGAGACTACAGCCGCTGATTTTTAAAAATTGAGATTAAAACCTGGACACTCCGTTCAAAATCAATTAACTTTTTATAATTTTGCTAATATTCTTAATTTTTTCAAAAGTTTTATTTTTTGTTTGTAATTATAAATTATTCTCGATACCTATTAAAGCAGCAAAAAAATAAATTCAAAATTTTATAAAAAATATTTTTACAAAATAAAATTTTTTAAAGTATTAATTGTCGTAAAGCAATTTCTTTCATTAATGGAGTAATAAGCCATCGTGTTCCAAAAAAGAAAGTTATTCCAGCAAAAATAGAAATTGGCAAGGCTGGCAACGCTTTGCGGAACAATGCAAGGAGCATTAATGTAAAAGCAAGACCCTTAAAAATGAAAAATTTTAATTTATCAAGATTTCTAATGTGGAAATGTACAAGGCGAAAAGATGGAAAGAGCTGGCTGGAAACAGACGGAGGAGATCAGTGATTAGCCCCGCTAGTATAATCCAACTAGACTGACGCTTTCACTGGCTTTTATACTATCCGTACACCACTACACAACAATACTTTAATTACCCACCCCTTTATTCGCAAGCTCAAAATGGTCAAAGTAACCCTAGTCGTAGGGCGGTCGCTTGGTTTTTGTATACAGTAACATAGGTCTATTGTTGGATATCGAATACATGGGTTGATTGGCGAATAAACGGGGCAATAATAGGGTGTGTTTTGCGAATAAATGAGGGTAGGTAGTTCAAATAAATAAGTACCAAAATGTATTTTTAGTTAAACATTATACCAAATATTTAAAATTAAAAATTCTGACCACAAGAATCGAGACATAACAAGCAATTGTAACATTCCAATCACCATAACTACTAGCCTTTCCTACCAATACACTATAGAAAATAAAATCACCCAAACCAAGCTTAACTCCACCTAAATATTTTTTATTTTTCTTTTTTTTATTAATTTATTTACGTTCTTCAACCAAATCATTTTCCTCTGCGCCACCAAAATTTTGTGCTGAACGAGAGCGTCGAAGAGAACGACCACTTTCTTTACTAGTTGTTGGTTGGGATGAAGAAGTTCCTGCCCCATCATTGCTGCTTCCAATAATTGTGATAATTGTATCGTCTGAAATTTAGAAACTATTTAGTTTTGAGTATTTTAGTAATATAATTTTAAAAATTTAAGAAAATTCCAGTTTTGTACTACACAGAGTCTAAGTACAAAGTAGGGGGCCGACAGTTTCCTTCCAGCCTAACACTTAAAGTAAGGATAAAAACGATTAGTCAGCGAAGAAATTGCTAAACTAGGGTTGTTGGCGACAAACCCTGAATTTTTGATATTTTTTGCCGAAAATTAACCGTTTTTAGAAAATTTTAAAAACAGGAAATTTGTGAAAATGACTGATTTTAATTAAAATTCCCCCAAAAATAAACCGGTATCTGCCTAAAACTCAAAACCGAAAACCTGGGGTACCGGTTAATAACCGATCGCCAACAACCCTGTGCTAAACATTGAAAATCTCTCATAGGGTTAAAACAAAATTTCTGATTTTTGTTTTTTAATGAGCAAAATAAATTTTAAGTAAAAAAAGTCTTTATTTTTACCAGATGTTGTGACATTTTGTCTTTTGGAGGACGATGTTGGACGACCTGGAGCACTTCTTGATCTACTTGTACTCTGTTCTCCACTACTTTCTTCTCTTTTAATTGATTCAATTTTTTCATCTTTTTCTAATAATCCATCTGTAGATGTTGCACTTCCTTCACGTTTTGTACGAGTTTTGTTGTTGTTGTTAGTTGAAGTACTTGGTAATTGTTCTTGTTCATTTTCTTCTCTTTGTTGTTCTTCTTCTTCATTTTCATAATCAACAGCATTATTAACTTGTCCCATTCCCGTTAAAGTGTACATATAGAGAATACCAGCTAGAAAAATTTAATTTTTAATGAGGAAGGTGTGCGGACATATCGGGCATTGGGGTGACAAAAATAATTTTTTGCGTGTTTACGTTTGTTCTAAAACAAAAACTCTATCTCTCAGTAGGAAACTGTTCGTACAATGAAATAGCCCGGTATGTCCGCGTGCCGAGAGGGAAAATTGAAAAATTATTAGAAACGTTAAGACGCAAAAAAGGTTCTAAAACTATTATTTGTTTTCTGGATTATTTTGTCCAGCTTATTTTAGAAGAGCGGGGCTTCCCTGGAAATTTCTTAAAAAATTATTCCCGTTTACCGTCACAAACAGATATTAAAAATAATTTACAAGAATATATTAAAGCAGGGAAAATAGGTTCATCTCTCTTCTGCGCAGTTTCCACCAAAATTCTCAAAGGCCCTTTTGGACACAAAACAGCAACCAAATCCCAAATTGAAAGCACAGCCAAAATTGACCAAACAGACCATTCCGGTAAATGTTTAATAAACATTAAAGCCATTAATGCAGACACAGAAACCAAATAAAACTTTAAAAAAATAAAAAAATATTCAAAATAAATCGTTCTAAAAAAACCTGTTGGAGAAGTAAAGGTCCTTGCCAATGAATACAAATCATGCCAAGAACACACCCTTTTTATTAAATTTTATTAGACAGTCAAACCCCATTTTTAAATATTCCAAAATGAAAATTAGTAGGAGAGCCTCGTAAGTGATTCACAAAAATAGAGTACAGACAGACTTGGTAATGGATATGGATACGTTAGAAATGCCTGCGGATATCAGTCTGTATCCGCCGTAATTATCCGGATACGGATATTAAAATTCATGTCCATTACCAAGTCTGGTACAGATTTTTCTGACCCAAGGGGACATCCAAAAATGAGATAAGTCTAAAATAAAAAATAAAATTCATACAGTTCCAAAGAAATATTCCAAGAGTAATATAATCAATTGGAATGTTGTAGTTGCGAAATAATTCTCTGAAAAATTTGAAAAAAATTAAAAATTTGAAAAAAAATAAAAATTTGAATAAAAATCTGGGAATATTATCAAAGAATGACGTTTTAAATTTTTTATTTTCCCACCCCTTTTAATAAAGAAAATAATTCTGGGCTTGGAAAAAGGATTTTTTAAACTAAAAATTTAAAAAAAAAATAATTACTCAATAAAAGACAACGTAAACATGGAGAGTAACATCAAGGAACTTAACATTAGCCAAGCATGAATAATCTAAAAAGGAAATTAATTTTCTAAAAAAATTTAAAAAAATAACCTTATAACATTTAGATTTATATAACACAATCAAAATTACAGTCATAACAATAATAACTACAAGCAATATCCCCGCATTAGCCAAAGATTGAAGCAAAATCTCTCCTGCCCCATCTGTTGTTTTTCCATGAAATGGAGTATATGGACTTTAATTTAAAAAAAAAATATTATTAATTGCTAACACGGAGAGGTTGCGAAGTGTCTGACCTAAAAACGGTCAAGACCGGGCTCATTCGATAGAGAATGTGCCCTTTCTAGCAAGGATTTTGAGCCGTTTTTACCCGTTTTTTGATCTGGCCAAGATATCGCCCGTCCTTAGGTCGGACACCTCGCAACCTCTCCTTGTAAGTTTATAGGGCGTTTTAATGTTTGGGGGTTATTAATTAAGTTGAATTTAATATACAAAACTTTTCATAATCGTTAGACAAATGAAAACTCGAAAAGGCATTAAACAACAAAAACAATAAAATCGTTCAAGTTGTTTAAGACAAAATATTCCAAAGGTCCAAGTGAAATGGCAAACACTTTAGGACATCCAAAAAGCCTCCGTTTTGGAACTGGGGGCTGTCTCTTATTTTATCCAACAAAGAATACTCGAATTTTTTTTCTGTTTTCCCTTTTTTTAATCGAATTAATCAAAAGAATATTTTTTGAAAAATCAGCTTGTTATGTGACGGTTAAACAAATATCCTCGAGGAATAGGACACCTTCGATTAATCCAATTAAAAAAGGGAAAACTGAAAAAAATAAAATCTTTTTTAATCCCAAAGATTCTTAAAAACCAAAAAAATATTGCTTAAAATTAAACCCCAACAAAAAACCTCTCAAAAACTCACAGATATTCCCCTGCCTTTGAATAATAACCAACAGTCATCATTGTCAAAATAACAACAGCCATACACAAAGACACTTAAAAAATCATTTATTTTCGCCAAAAAATTTTTTAAAGAAAACCTGGCACAAATAAATGAATAACGTGGGAAGCTCCATATTTTAAAGCCTGTTCTTCCATCATTTTTTCACTTGTTAAAGAATCTCTGCGTCTTTTAGAAGGGTTTTGGCGCTGTGCTGACTCACACAATTTTGAATCGCTTGATACTGGCTTTAAAAAATTATTTTAAATTTTAATAAAAATTCAGAATTTTGAGCTTTACTGAAGCCCATATTTATTTTTTCCCTATTTCTCCTTTATTTTATTTCTAGTAACTAAACAATCATGTCCTTCGAGGATATTTGCTCGACCGTCACATTCAGCAAGGGCGAAGCCAGGGTGTCGATTTCAGGGGTGGGGGTTGTAGGCGTAAAAAATTCACTTTTCTCACCATTTCCCACCTAAAAATTTTTCATTTTCCCCATTTCAGGGGGGGGGGCTATAGCCCCAGAAGCCCCCCCCCCTCTGGCTACGCCCTTGACATTCAGGACTGTTGAAAACTGGATTTTTGGATTTGTTTCAGGGAGGGGGTTGTTGTTTTCAATTCGCGACAAATTTTTGGCGCCCCCTGGCACATTAATAACAGATTAAATTCCCAAAAAGTATCCTTTGATTAATTCAATTTAAAAGGAAAAATAGACAGAAAATAAAATTAGTGTCCCTAAAGTCAAAAATTTCCCCAAAAATTTAAAAAATAAAAAACCCTTCGTTTAGTCTTCTTTTTTCCTCCAACTCTCTCCTTTTGTTGATCATTTTGTTCACTACTTCCGCTCTCTTGATTATGTTGAGGTGAACCATTTGTTCCTGTTGTGCTAATAGCAGAAGAATTTTGAGGGATTGTTGCTAATTCCATTTAGAAAAAATAAAAAAAGAAAATTTTCTGAAAACTGAAAGAAAAGTCTGATTAAGAAATCTAGGGTAGGACAAGGCCTGTTACCCGCCCGGTTAATTTTTCCCTGTAGCGGGTCAAAAAGGGGAAGAGGGAAGGGAAACGAGAAAAAAGACCTGCCACAGGTAAAAATTAACCGGGCGGCTAAACCGGGCTGATTTCTGATTTTTTTTCTGAAAATTTTGAAAAAAAATTACAGAAAAAAATTTAAAAATATAAATTTTGATATAAAAACAATTTTTAAAAAACTAAAAAATTCTTAAACTAATTTAAAACAATTTATAATAATCAAAAAAATAAATACTCAATATCAATAAAAACTATAACAATTGCTCATTTTAAAAAGTCCTTCCATTTACAATTCCATAACAACAGAAAAGTCATCAGCCAATTTCTCCGCTGCTTTGTCTAAAAAATGTTTTTAATTTCGAAAAATAAGTAAAATTTAAGGGAGAATATTAAACTGACTTTTTGATCGAAATAGGGTGTCGATTCTGGACCGAACCAAAGAACCGAGGATTTTTCGGTTCGGTTTCGGATATCCGAAGAATTTCCAGGAACCGACTAGACCGAAATAATAATTAAAAAGTACGAGGCGTGGATTTTTTAAGGCTTTGATTCATCTTCTTTAATATCCAAAAAATTCCCAAATTTTATAACCCCGTTTTTTTTAAAAGCATTACTTACAACTTCTATAAGTAGGGCTATCTGGTACTTATTTAGTTCCCCCTACCCCCCAGTCAGTTTTTTCGAAAAATATGTAAAAATGGTCAGTCTGAACAACAATTGTAGAACCCATCGAGCTGAGTCGAATGAGACCAAAATCAACGAAATCGGACTTGATTTGACAAAGTTATGACATTATTTAGACTTACCGGAGTCAACGACTTATGTCATAACTTTGTCAAATCAAGTCGGATTTCGTTGATTTTGGTCTCATTCGACTCAGCTCGACGAGCTCTTTCGAATGAGCTATAATTTGTATAGATTTTCGTCTTTATGATTTTGTGCCGCTGTGGTTTAGGGGTCTGTATTTCGGTCAAATCAAGTCGGATTTTGTTGATTTTGGTGTCATTCGACTCAGCTCGATGGGTTCTACAATTGTTGTTCAGACTGACCATTTTTACATAATTTTCGAAAAAACTGACTGGGGGGTAGGGGGGAACTAAATTAGTACCGGGCTATCTCTTGCTGGAAAATCTTTGGATATTCGAAACATACCCAAAAAATCCTTGGTTCCCCGGACAGAAAAATCATATTTATAAACGTATGTAATATTGAACCGGACAAACCCACTTTCCTCCTCCCCAATTTTACTCCTTTTTTGACATGTACTTTCACTTATATGTATAAAATTAAATATAATTCTTTTTGTTTGATTGTAAGCAAAAATTAGAAAGGCAAATTGGGTGGAAGAAAGGGAAAAGTCTGAACATTTTGCAAAAATATAGGGGGAAAATTGGGAAGGAAAAAGGGGAGGTTTGTCCGGTTCAATATTACCTAAACTTAAAAAAGGCATAATTTTTTACCTCCCTTCCTCCTAAGAGGGGAGATATCCGAAATCGAAAAAACCACGGATATCCGTAAATTTTCAGTTCGGATATCGGTTCCGGAGAATTCCCAGGAACCGCCATCCTTACCCCCCTCCCCCCCTAAAAATTATTTAAAATCCAAACTTGTTCTCTTCCTCATTCTTTTAATTTTCTTCCTAGCCTTCTTCAAATCCCTATCAACCCTTTCATTTCCTTCAATTTCCTTCAAATCCTTTCTAAACAAATTTGTAAATATCGGAATTTTTTCTTCCAAATTTTCTTCATTCTTCAAAACTTTATTTATTTCTTTCAATTTTAATTTCTTTTCTTTAATTTCTTCTTTTAATTGTTTTTGGATTTCTTTGGCTTCTTTAATTAAATCAATTTTGAATGGGCATTTATTGGGAATTGAACAAAATTTTTCTTTTCTTTTGTTTTTTCGCCCAGATTCTAAAAAAATTTTTTTTATTTTTAAATCTCGGCAAAACTTTGGTTTAGACTAGAGACCGGCAAAATCGAACTTCCGGGATCCCGAGTCGGGATTTTTTTCTTAATCGATGCGAATACGGGATCCCGAGGGATAAATCCCGAAAAAATCCCGGATCCCGAAAATCAAAAAAATCAGCGCCTTCGGGATCCCGGAAAATTTCCTCCAGCGCCGACCTCTAATTTAGGCACCCCTATTTTTCCTTTTCCCTTTTACGACATCTGTTCTTTTTTCAAGCAAAAAAAGCTCAAAATGGTCAAGGAAACAGGGAAAATGAATAGGGGGGTCTGAACTAGAGATCGAGATTTTTGGAAAGCCTGGGCCTTTTCCTGGGTTCCGGGTTGATTTATTGATCTGGGCGGATCCTGGGCCTTTAGTCCAGGAAAAACACAGGCCCAGGAAAACCCCAGGAAGGTCAAAAAATGCCTGGGCCTCGACTCTGGGTACAGGAAAGACTCCAAGCCTTGGTCCAGTCCCAGCTCGATCTCCCGTCTAAACCAAAGAATTACCCAAATATTTATAAAAAAATACTTTTGTCAATCTTTTTGAGCTTTTTGGAATGCTCCCGAGCCTTTCTCTGAATTTTAAATTTTTTCCTGAAGCCAATCCTTTTGCTTGGTTTTTCTAAAAAATATTTTCGTTTAAATAATTTCAAAACAAACTTACTCAAACAATTATTGGCCATTCTAATTTTTAAAAAATTTTATGAAAATATTTAAAAGCACGAAAAAATCTTTAAAAAATAAATTAGCTAAAATTAGAGGTCGGCACGGGTCAGGATCCCGTACGGGATTTACGGGATCCTGTCCCGAAATCCCGTATTATAAGCGACAAACGGGATTACGGGATTTCACGAGATTAATCCCCCGGGATCCCGTCCCGCAAAAATTTTTGAAAAAAATCCCGTTACGTGATCCTGGGAAAGCGATTTTGCCGACTTCTAGCTAAAAATTTAATAAAAGACACTGAAAATTGGCGATGAAAAGGCCTATACAAAATTTATATTTTTAGCGAAATAGTGTTGAAAAATAAGAGAGACAATTAGAGAAAAAAAGAAAATTTAATAAAATTTTGGCGTTGCTTCTTTAAAGTTTCTTAATTTGTTTTACAATTAATTTAATTAAAAATAATTTCAGAAATTTGTTTTAAATTTATTTAAAGCCTTCAATTTCAAAAAATGAGTAAAACGCATCCACCGGAGTTGAAGAAGTACATGGACAAACAAGTCAATATTAAATTAAATGGAAATAGGTTTATTTAAATATTTTTTTTGTATTTTAAAATGAATTTTTAGGAATGTCTCGGGTGTTCTGCGAGGATTTGATCCATTTATGAATATTGTGGTTGAGGACTGTATTGAGCATATGAAGGTTTGTTTGGGTTGGGGAATTAACTAAAAAAGGGGGGACGGAGGAGGAAAGGGTGTAAGACTGGGAATTTTGCGGAGAACCCCTTCTTATTCCTCCATTTCCCTTTTTGTTTTATCCACTGATTTCCCCGTCGACTCCTAGGCCTGAAATCCTGGAAACCTCAAAAGCTTTATAATGCTAGAGTTTGGGCTTTGTATACATAGAAACCCTTTGCCAATCTCTGTCACCAATGTGTCCCGGATTCGACCACTTTAAACAAAGTTATAGCTCTGCGGTAAATTAGTCTGCTCCTGTTTTTTAGACCTCAATTTCCCGTATAGACATATTTTTTTAGCTCTAACTTTTAATTTTATCCTTATAGGTTCTAGATTAGGCAACTAATATAAACAAAGTCTTCCTTTTCTGTTGTTGAGAATAGGATTGCTGACGGTCGGTTAACCGAAAACCGGGTGCTTTTGGCTAAAACCCCGAAACTGAAAACCCGAGGGTCGTAAACCGGTGAAAAACCTGAAAAAACTTTTTCTGGAAGACGGTAATTCTGAAGCTGGTCCCCTCTTTTTCAAAAACCTTTTCAGGTTACCGGTCGTAAACCTGAAAACTGGGGGATACCAGTTAATAACCCCAACAACCCTAGTTTAGAAATTTCGAAACTTTGTCAATTTTTTTAAAAAATTTAAAAAAAATTTTTAACTAAAAAAATTTTTTTATTTTAGACAGGGGAGTCTCAAAGTATTGGAATGGTTGTTATTCGTGGAAATTCGATTGTTATTATGGTTATTTTTTAATTTTATTTTTTTAATTAATTTTTAAATTTAGGAGCCTATGGAACGAATTCAATGACCTTAAAATGGATTTTTTGAAAAGGAAAAAACAATTTGAAAATTATTTTTTGGGATTTTAATCGTTTGTTTGGTTTATTTAAAAAATATTTTTTTGTTTTTGGAAAGTAAAATTTGAAAAAATATTTTTTTATTAGGCATTTCTTTGGGATAAAGGGAAATTTTTAGGGCATTCGAAGAGGTAAAAACTTTATTAAAATAAAAAAAAACCGTCAGGAGTCTGATACATGAATAGAAATAGCCCAATCGAAGTATTACTCCTTTTTAATAGTAAAACCATTCCTTTGTGTTTTTTGCGTATTTTTGAAACCTAAGATATTGTAAAAATTCATAAAAAGATTGTCAAGCCGGACGGTTAATTCGACAATCTAAAAAGGGGTAATACTTCAGTTGGTATGAATAGGGTGTCATTTGTACAGCTTTAAAGTTTAATAAGACACATTCAAAAAAAGCTTACAAAGGCTTTTATAATTTTTTAAATTTTATTTTCACTGAAAAAGTGTCTTAAGCGAATTTAAAATTATTTAATAATTTAAAACATCTTTTTAAATTTAAAAATTTTCTTTCCTTTCCCTATCCAATTTATTGTTTTCCACAACAATTTTTGTTATTTAAGGACATAAATTCTTCAATTTCCTCTACAGTTCTAGGCAATTCTGCATTCATATTTAAATTCCCATTTGCCAAAATAATTATATCGTCTTCAATTCTGACCCCTCCAAATCCTCTAAATTCCTCAATTTTTTCTTTTACCAAATATTTTGACAATTCTGGGTCAGCAAAGGCTTTGTCCAATAACTGAAATACATATAATCCGTAGAATTAAATTTTAAAATTATTTTTCCTTTAAAGTTTTCAAGATTTACGTAAACACAAATTATATTTTAGTATTTTTCTTGTCAGTACCCAGAAAAATGTCTGGAACCAGAAATGAGCTGGGCTGTTCGGGTCGGGCTCTTTCCCAGCTAATGTAAGAGGCGGAATACAAGGGTTGCCTGTTTACAACCAGAGATGTTTCGAAACAGAAAACCTCGAAAATCGAAATTTTGAAACAACTCTCTTTACAACCATGCACCTCTTCGCGGTGTATTTGTAACGGGAAAAGATTGTATCGATGGCTGCCGTAGGCTAAACTTTTACCTCTCCATTAATAATATAAAAAATTATTTCCTCACCGTATCAATAAAATAGCATCCAGGTTCAATTGTTATACACATTTTTTCTTTAAGTGTTCGAGTTGTTCTAAGTGATTTTAATCCGGGTTTATCCGAACGAGGTAAAGCATCCTTTAGGTAAAATTTAAGAAAATATTGAATACCGATACTTTTATTATAAGATACACCCTGGGTTGAAAAGATAGTACCTTATAATGAAGTGTATATTAAATAGAGGGTAAAGCTTGAACAGCTTCTTCACCCCATTGGTCACCCAATTTTTTAAGAGGTATCCTAAATTGGTGGTGTATTGAGTGTATCTTATAATTATTGTTGGGGCCGTCCGAAAGATCGAGTCGGGCATTGAATTTTGGCCCGAAAAAGACTGTAAAGCATATAGCTATTTAATTCCCAAGGCTATGCAGTAGGCGGTGTGGTGTACTGGCTAACACATCAGTCCGGTCTACTGAAGATGCTGGTTCGCTCCCAGCCGCCGAATAATCTTTTGCACTAGCTAAAGGAGAGAAATAGCTATAGCCCAGCTGCTTTACTCGACTCGGCGGGCCGGCCTGAAAACGACTCGAACGTTGGCCCGATTCGAGAACCCCCAACCATACTTATCGAAGTTTAGTCTTTTATTAGAAGAAAATACCCCCAAATATCCGCCAACATCGTGAATATCTAGTCCCTTAAATTAAAAAATAATTTAAATTAAAATAATTTTAAAAACACCATAAAATGCCCCAATCCATGAGGCATAAAGATAGCTCCAATTCTCTTTTCCACCATTTCCTCTACTTTACCAATTAATAACCCCCCAGCCTGCAAATCTTCTAAAATTATTTTCTCTGCAAGTAAATGCATCTCTGTCCAACGAATGCCTTTTAATTAAAATTTAATTTTAAAAAATTTTCTTTTTTTTCAACTACCAGGCTTAGCTTCCTTTAAAACTGTTCGATTAGCTCTATAAACAGCATTGTAAATTAGTTTTTGTTTTTCAGAAAATTTTCCCTTAAAAAATAATTTTATATAAATTTTTAAAATTCAAATAACATTAGCAGGGAATGTACAAGTCACATCAGAACCTTAAATTTTTTCATTTAAATATTAATTTTAAAAATAAGTAGTCAGATCTCACACTATAAAAGACACCCAAATATTAGAATTATAATCCACCAAAAACAAAATAAAATTTTTTTCAAATGTTGGCGCCTTCGGCGCCAAAAATTTGGCGCAAGCAAATTTCCCCCCCTCGAAAAAAAATCCTAGTTACGGGCCTGCCCCCACCAAGGGTGTCATATAAGCGAGATCTGATAAAGTACACCCAAATATTAGGATTATATAAATACATAAACTAAAATCAAAATAAAATTTTTTTTCGAATGTTGGTTGGCCTCTAAGTGAATGGAGCTTTGACAAAGCGATGCCCTCTTCCTCCTATGCCTCCTCCCCATTATAAGGCTCAATTTTTCCCCACCAAGGGTACCCCTATAAGCGAGATCTGACTTTCTTAAATAAAAATTCTTCTTTCATCCCTCACCATAACAATTATATTCCGGTCCCATATCAAAAAGGCAAAGATCCCCATCATTAAATTGGCGGTCATTTGGTGCTCCAGCATGTCCTTTTTAATTTAAAATTATTTTAATTTCCCTCAAAATACCATAATGTAAAATAGCAGCGTTACACCCCGTTGCTGCAATACAAGTATACCCCAAATGTCTACAACCTCCACCATAATAGGAAATGTGACGGAAAAGGCTTAAAAAATGTTTAATTACATAATTTTCAATTCATCAAGTTCAAGCAGTTCAGATAATGTTCATCTACAGGTTGAACTGCTCGAACTTGATGAAATCCGAAATTTGTTGGCAATTTTCAAAAAATATTTCTTTCACCTTTCCATTTGATATTCAAACATATTTGGCTTAACATGGCGCATTAATTCCTTGTGTGCCTCATTTGCACATTTTGACGCATATTTCAAAACCTCAATTTCCAAATCAGTTTTAATTACACGCAATTCAGCAATTATTGGGTAAAGTATTTTTGTATCAGTCTCAAATTTGTCCAATCCAGGAATTTTTGTTGGAGGCTCGAGAACTTAAGAACAGAAAAGAAAATTCCTTTTAAGGGAAGACATCAACACCCAAAAAATTAAATCATACATACAATGAGGTGTATGTTAAATAGAAGGTATCATCTAGTTAACCCCCTCAAACTAGGCTCCCTCAACCCAAAGGGAGACTGGTCTTTAATTTCCTCAAACCAGGCCCAAACGAACTTAAAAAATTTTTCAACAAATTCAAGCAGTACAGAGAATGATCATCTCCAGAAAGTACAGCTTGAACTTGATTTTAACATTTTTTCTAGTTTATTAATTTCTTTTAATTTTACCAATTCCACTGTCAGTATTTTCAGCTCGCTAAAAATTAAAAAATAATAAAAAAATTTCTCAAAAATTCCCCCCTACCAAAAGCAATAATTTATTTATTGGATTAAAAGCATTTAATGTTTCAATAATTTTCGAACCATTTTCATGGAATACAACCTGATCAACTTTGTATTTATTTAAAAACCATTGCTCGTTTTGGATTCTAAAAGAATATTTTTTTGAATAATTTTATTTTAAGTCCAATACCCCTAAAATTTTTGATTTTCAAGACTTTGGCAGACCCGATCGGAACTTTTCGGTTGAATCAAGCAGATTGGAACTAGAGACCGGACCGAGACGAGATCTCGATCGAAAATTTCGGTTATCGAGATAAAGAATTTTCGAGATCTCGATTTTCGTACACTCCCAGTTCGGTCTCTAGTTAGGACCTACTTGAATAAGATCAGTGAATACTTTCACAAAATACAGCAGGACCTCCCTGTAAGATACATCCAATACTAGACACATCCGAATTTAAGGGATGTTTCTTAAGATGTTTTAGATACTCGCTAATACTTTTAGGCACAAGGATGTAGTATATTATATAATGAGGTTTGACTGTTTACTAACTTCTAGCTTAACTTGGCAATAAGATATTAATTTTAAAAAATCGAATTGTCCAAATTTTACTATTGAACAAGATTAAAATTGCCCTTGTTTAAAATCCATTCCAATAAAATTTCAAAAAATTCCCAATTAAACACAACAAAAAAACAAACTTTCCATCCCATATTGCATAATCTGGCGCAAGTTTGGGAGGAAACAAAAACGATTTTCCACTATTAATGTCAATAGCTCCATAACAACCAGGCTCGTGTACTCCAAAAGTCCAGAAAAAATAGGATTCCTTTAAAGGAAGAAATTTTTTAATCAGAAAAGATTTTGTAAGGATGATTCACCTAGAGCATTTAAAACGTTTAGGAGGGGGTTAAGCGATATAAAAAGGATAAAAGAGAAAGCATTGGTCGATGCCCAGGGGTACACCCCAAGATACCGCAGAACTATAACTTCGTTTAAAATGGTCGAATCCGGGACACCCTGATATGATTCGATTCAGCTCGTCGAGATGCATCGAACTATACCAAGTCGTTCTGGATTCGAGTATTTTTAACGAAGTTATAGCTATGCGGTCCCTTCCCCGGCAGCTCAGTGGTAGAGCTCCTCTATGTGGTGAGCGAAAGCACCTAGCCATATCTGTCAGGAAGTCGCAAGTTCTAATCCTGCCCGGTGGCTAAACTTTTGCTAAACTCTTTCTATTCCCTAAATTCCCCTCTTATTTTAACCTGTCTAAAAACAATTTCACCAAAATCTGTATTATATCGAGTCTTTTCTTTTCCACTTTTTAATAAAACAAAAATTCCTTCTTTAGATTCCCCTCCAAAATTATTTTTTAATTTATTAATTAAACGTTGTCTATTTTCAACAAATAATTGAATATTTATTTTTAAAGGATTTTTGGGGGTATTAAATGACATTTTTTTTAAATTTTGGATTATTTAATTAATACCAAAATAAAAACAATAATCATTTATTAATTATCGTGTTTTTATGAGTCCGAAAAAAGATAAAACCCCCCACAAATCAATTTACTATTTAGCTTATCAAAATTAGAAAATAATTATTTTCTGGGAAATTATGGTTAGAAAAATAATTTTTTTTCAATTTTTAAAATGTTTTTAAAGTTTTAGACCACCTAAAACTAACAGCAGTTTTAACCGGGTACACCTACTATCAGTTCACTCCCGCCACCTATAACTTATGAAAGGGCGGATAATTTTTAGTGTTCTTGATACCATTGGATAGAGAATTAAACACAATACAAGATTCCAAAAAATCAAAATTTTGGATTTATTGATAGAAAAGTTATGATTGATAAAGTGCCAAAAATAACATTTTTCTTTGAAAAAGTCAGTTTTTTAATCTCAACTTTTTTATCAATTGATCGAAAATTTTGATTTTTTGATATGTTGTAGACCCTTTAATTTTCTATCCAATGTTACAAAGAAGATGAGGAAGTAACCATCCCTTCTAGAGTTATAGGGACGGGAACTGAACTGCTACGAGTTTAACCTGTCTAAAAGCAATTTCATCCGCATCAGTATTATAACGAGTATTTTCACAACCGCCTTCTAAAAGTACATAATTTCCTTTAATGTTTTGGTCAAAATTTTTTAATAATTCAGTCACTAAACGTTGTCTATTTAATTCAAATAATTTAGTAGATACTTGGAAAGTATGTGGGCCACGCGAAAATGACATTTTAATTACTAGAAAATTAATTATTTAAGCTTAAAAATTTTTAAAAAGGTAACCAAAAGCTGGAGAGAAGGACATGTGACCTTCTGACAGTTTTTGATAGGCACAAGTTCATTAGGGCAGGTTATTTCCGATTGAGTTACCTAGGCTTATTCGGTCTTAAATTGCTCCTAAGTGCTAGGGTAACTAAATACTAGAAAATTATAGGAAAACGAAATTGGCCCCATTCTTTTTAATTCAAATATGTAGCTAAATTCCTCACAACTTCCCTTCGAATAGGAAAAAACATAAAGGATGTAGTGGAGGACCGGTGGTGGAAAGATTCACCAGAACTTCCCTCCCTTCTATTCCCTGTAAAATCAAGTCTGACTATTCCAGGAGAATACCCTCTAAAACGCTTAATAACAAGTGGCAATCCCTGTCCAATTACTCAATATAAATTAAATAAAATTAAATAAATTTAAAATATCAAGTGTTAATAAAAAAACTTTTTAAATTTAAAAAAGAAAATACAAAAATAAAATTTATCGTTTAATAAAAAAGATAAATATAAAATGAAGGCAAAATAAAAAATGGCATAGACGTTTAAAAAGATTGTTTAAAAATTTATTTTTGTGTCTATGTAATAAGAGAGAGATTATGGATCTTAAAAAACATAAAAATGCATATACAATTATTCTTTTAAAAAGTTAGTGACCGGTAAAAGAAAAATAAAAAGTGTATTTGGCCAAATTGTTTTGTTTTTAGCTAATTTTGGATAGAAACATTTAAATATACCCCCAAATTTAAGATTAAATTTTTTGAGCCCCAGGAGAGTATCCTATATGTAATTAAATCAGAAAGTATAACCTCACTATAAGACACCACCTTGGGGCTGAAAAATTTGTACCTTATAAAATGACCACCAAAAAGCTAACCAAACCTAAAAAACTATCTTAATTGTTATGTATCTAGCAGGGATCACGCCGGCCCAATTCACGAAAATTCCCGAAAATCGTGAATTCCTAACGAATTTGGGCTCATGAATTCACGCTTCACTAAAAACGGGAATTTAAAATTTTCGGACATTCACGATTCCCGAAAATTGGAAATCTGGTTTTCTGTTAGCGTGATCCCTTATACCTAGTATAAAGTGGATTTATAGCAAGGCGACTTAATTCAAAAATTTTTACAGAAAATTTAATTCACTTAGGTTCTTTAAAAGAGAAGGAAATTCGAAAGAATTTTATCAAACCGGTCACTAAACAAACAAAATTTTTCTCTTTTTTAAATTTAAATACTCGAAAACTTCCCCGATTCAATATCTTTTTGTATTTCTTTAGACAATTCTTTATATTTTTGTAAAGAAGTATCCCAATAAAATAAACGATTACCACAACATTTTTCCAAATCAAAACCTTTTAAAATTTTATTTTTAAGTTTTCTTTTTTAAATTAAAAAAAAATCAAAACCTTCATTTTGTAGCTGCCCTTTCTTTAATTTAAAAGTGCCCGTTTTTTCAATTCCATCACAAAATCGAAGAAAGACAGGTATGGCATAAGAGGCAAGTTGTTCAGTAAATATTACTGCCAATTTATTTGTAAATTCCTAAAAAAATCAAAAAATTTTATTAGAAATAGGGCTGCGAACCCAACAACATCCCAGCACGCCCTTCTCTTGCTAACCCAACAACCCGAACGATGTCGAGTTTAGGAAAATTGCCCGGACAGTGCAAAAACTTTTTCTCAATAAATTTGAGTTCGAATAAATATGCAACGAACGTAAGCTCGAACCGAATATGACAACTCTATTTAAAATTATTGCCCGGGCTGACAGCGGACAGACATTTGCGGACATGATATGTTCCCATCCCTCACTACAAAAATAAATTGGGTCCGAAAGAAAAAAATAAATCGGGGCCGAACGGGTAGGTCAGAACGCGCAATATCAACACAATCTAGTATATCAAAAAAACTTTTTTAAACCTAATTTTCACTTCACCTCAATATCAGTTCCATCTTGCAACACAATAGCAATCATTCCTGCACGTCCTTCTCTTCCAGGTACTTCAACACCATAAACAGACGTATCAACAATAAATTGATGTTCAGAATGGAGTAACCCCTCAACTTCTGTTGTGCTTACATTTTCCCCTTTCCAACGATAAGTATCGCCTCTTCTGTCCTACAAAACAAATTATAAAAAATTTAAAAAAATTCCAAAAAAAAACCTTAAAATATAAATATCCAAATTTATCCCAATACAAAATATCACCGCTAGCAAAGACTGTATCCCCTTTTCGATCACAATTTTCAATCAATTTACTTTTTGATGCTGAACGATCAACATAACCTTCAAAACGAAGTAAAGGTTTGTTTGGATGGACAGCGGCTCCCTGAAAAAATTAAGGATTAAATATAAGTTAAATACACAAAATCAGATACACTTCTGAGACTGAAAAATTTATCAGTGTATAAGTAGTGTACCCTTAATCTTTTGACAACTTTCGTTTTTTCAGTGCGTTTTAAAATAATTTTCGGTTCACCCATACTGGTAATTTATAAGGACTAGGGATGTCAGCTGACTCAAGCCAGGACTCAAGAAATTCGCTCGAAAAAATGCAACGAACATCGGCTCGAATCAAAAATGGGAACCCTAATAAAGGACTACTGGTTTCATTGTCAACCATTTTGTCAAATTCCCATTAATTTCAAAATTCTCTTGTTTAGAGCTCTGCTAAAGTATTTGAATTCTAACCCGAAAAACTAAAAAATTTTAACACCCAAACCTATTAAAATATAAAAAACCTAACAATTTCTCCAGATTCTCCAGGTTTGCATCTAATACAAAATCCATTTTCATCACGTAAAAGTTGTCCATTTTCATCAACCCGCAACAAGCGAAGAGGATATAGACCACTCACAAAAGTCATATATAAAGGCATAAAACCACAAGCACCAACATGGTTATCAACATTTATTATATTTGAATTTCCTTCTGTGCTGCCTAAATATAAAAAATATATTAATTTCTATCAAAATCGGTTTAAAATAGGCATTGGAACATATTTCAACACAGATTCGCATTTTACTTATAAAATGTCAAAAAAATAAAATTATTCTTAAATGGTAAAAATAGGGCAAAATATGGCAAAAGTAGAAAATAGGGGAAAAATAGGGCGAAAAGGCCTAAAATAGGACAATTGCCCCGTAAATAAGGCAAAAGAGACACCCTGATAATGTTATATTACTACAAAAGTACCCTAAAAATCCAATATTTTTAAAAAACTAATCGGCTCAGAAAGACTAATCAACTGTTCACAATTAATCACAAAATAAGGGCAAAATTTTTCCTCACAGCCGAGACAATGAATGAGATTCGAACCTTCATCACCCAATCAGACCTCACTAACTACCAATCCCACTTAACTACGAACACCTCTCTTTGTATGGGATTTTTAAATAAGATAAAAATAAAAACCGTAAAATTCTCCAATTCTTTCAATTCCAAATCTAGCAATAAATTGTTCCCAAATTTGAGGCCGAAGTCCATTTCCTTTAAAAAATAATCTTTATTCCTCAATTACTCCAAAAAATCATACCAAACATTAACCGAATTTTGTGTGTTCGTTCCTCTGAAATATAAGGCTGTAAAAGAAGATAACGACAAATTTCCCCAATATATTGAGAAATTGTACAGTCAAAGCGTTTACAATCTATTAAAAAATTAAAAAAAAATTTATTTGTTAAACAACCTAGCCAAAAATTTGAAGCAGAAAATTTTGAGCGAATACAAGCAGAAGCACCTTAAATAAAATTTTTTTCGAATTCAAAAAAAAGAAACCTTTCGTCAAAACCTGCCCTGTAGCCAAAATTCCAGCAGAAGAATGATACATTGGTAAAGTTATATAAAAACGATCTGTTGGTTTAATACAAAATGCTTTTCCGCATGAACAAGTCATCATAAAATATCTTTTAAAAAAATTGTTTTTTTTTGGGAATTTCTGTTTTTATTGATAAGGAACCACCGCAAACTATGACCAGAAATTTTCAAATAAAAAATGCTTTTCACATGAAATGGTCGAAAACCGATTACCGATCGGTTTTCGACCATGCTCTACACGATGGTATAATTTTTATCTGAAAATTTTTGGTCATAGTTCGCGGTGGTTCCTTGTGAGCTGTTTTTTTAATTTTAATTTCAATCGAGGAGAAAAAACAGGTCTGGGGCCTATTTCAATTGTCCGCGGATTGTGTTCTGTACACAAAATGCAAAATCTGCGGACAATTGAAATAGGCCCCTGGGAGCATTCACATCTCATGAGGTTTATTCTAAATAGGAGCCATCGCTTAAGCAGGTCCTCCACTTAGTGACCCAAACACATTCTAACAATAAGAAACGTATCTTATTTAAATTAAGGTGCCTTTAATATTGACAAGGAACCACATCGAACTGACACCAAAAAATTTCGAAAATATTTTTATACCATCGTGTAGAGCAGGGTAAATTTCCTATTGCCAATTTTTTGATTTTTCGGCCCCACCCCCCAAATCGGAAAGTTATAAGGCTTCAAAGTTTTCGACATTTGGTGAGTGCATCTTAGCCCGGCTCGACTACGTTATTTAAAAATTCCCCAAAAAATCTAAAAAAAACCTAAAATGCCTGATAACTGCTGCCTTTGGAATTCCAGTTGTCCCACTTGTATAAATATAACAAAGAATACCTTCAAAATTTTAATTTAAATAAAATTTGTTCAAAAAATTTCAAACTTTGAAAATTTAAATTTGAAGGAATTTTGGGTTTTTCAATTTCTTCAATTCTATGTTCTCTAATAAAACATTCATTTCGTACCCATTTATATTCAAAAAGTAATCCACGTTCCAACACAAAATAGGTCAAATCTGATGGCAATAAACCTTTCTTTAGAGCATTTTCAAGGACTAAAATTAAAGAGAATAATTTAAATTTAAAAAATTAAAATTAGAAGGAGGAATTGAGAGGGAAAGCCTATCTACCGCAAAGCTGAAACAAGGAAACAAAGTAATATAAAATTGTCAAACCAATTTTGTATTGTCAGACGCGGATAGACAACTGGGACAGATTCCTGTCGCCTTCTGCCTCTGCAAAATTTCCCTTCTTTTGAAGCTTTTGCTTTTGACTTGGGTTCGGGTCGTCTTGGCGCCGGGCCGTTTTGGCGCGAGAACAAAAAAGTGGCACTTTAGCTAGACCTAACTTCATATAAATTTTCTCAAATTTCTTTAACATCCTTGACTATCTCCTCCAGAAATTTCAGAATTTTTGATCAATTATTTCTGAAGTTATAATCGATAGACCTCGAAAAATTAGGCATTTTTAAGAAAATCAACATTTTTGGCCATAATTTGTAAAATTAATGCTCAAAAATTATGAAATTTTTGTAGAACTTAGATAAAGATATGAGAGTTTTATCTTTTTTTATAACTAACTCGTTATCTTATAAGCTCGCGCCAAAACGGCCCAGTCCCTTTGGCTTCTGTTTCCGCTTTTATATTGTTTTAAATTTTGAAAAAACTAAAAAAAACCTGGAAATAATGTCCTTGTAGTTAAAATAGCTTTACAATTTGCCACTCTAATAGAATGAGCTAAAGGCTCTGATTTTAAATTTGTATTAATCCAAGCAGTTATAATTCCAATTTTTGAAAGACCAAACCACGAAGCGAAAAAATCAATTCCATTTTCCATAAAAAGAGAAATTACATCCCCACTTTCAAATCCAATATGGCAATTCTTTGAAAATTAAGTAAAATATATTTATAGGAATCAGGGATGTAACAGTAAGAGCGAGGTAAAAGTTTAATCCCGAGCAGGCTTTCCTGCGACCTCTTGGCAGTTATTGCTAGGCGCTTTCGCTTACCACGTACAGGTGCTCTACCAACTGAGCTACCGGGACGCTGCTTATCTTTTACCAGATCCTTAAACCCCCGCCTAGTGAGCGTTTTAAATGGTAACCAGGTGGATCTTTCTCTTCCTTACATAACAGAGTACCCAAAACTTTGGTAAAATTGCAGTTTACGGGCTCCTTTCCTCCTCCAAATTTTTCCCAATTAATTTACAGAAAGGTCAGACTTTCCTTCCTTTCTTTTTGCCAATTCTTCATTTTGTATTTTGCCAATAGACAATCAAAAAAATTTTTTTATTGTTTTGGAAGGAAGAAAGGAAGGTTTGATCAATTTAACATGAAAAAACTTGGGGATAAAAAAGGTGGGCACGTAAATGACAATTTTACCCAAATTTTTAACCCCGCCCAAGAATTTTCAGAAATCCAACTAGAAAATGAAGACCCTATTTCAGACATTTTTCTTGAAAAAATCAAGTTAGGAAATTTATTGAAAGGATTTTAACATTGGAACCCCCAAAAAACAAGTCAAAAATTAATATTCAAAAAATTCAAAAAAACCTGAAAAAAATTTGCAAATTTATTAGAATGTTGATCAAATTCCAAAAAAGTCATTTTCCTTCCACTTTCAACTTCTACCAGGCATTCTTTGTTAGGCATTTGTTCAACAATTTTATCAAAATATTCGTGTAAAGGTTTGTTTTGTCGAAGACGAAGGCGCATTTCGAATTTGATACGGATAACTAATAAAACACCCCTAAAAAGTATTTTTTAAATATGAATAAATGTAATAAAATAGGCGAATAAATAGCCTGGGAAAAATGAAAATAAGGAAAACAAAAACTATAATTGTTATTATTTTATAAGGTTTTTTGGTGTTGTTGGGGAATTTAGCTAATTTTTGGTGTAAATTTAAGGATAATTTTATATGAATAGTTCGATAATAAATTCTCGTAATTTACTATCGATTCTCGTAAATAACCCTTGTCTCGTAATAACCCTTGCCAGGAGTTTCCGAATTTAATAAAAATTTAAACCAAAAAGCTAGCAGATAGTGAAAGATCAACCGGGATAGCCTCCGATCACCAAAAATATCCTTACAAGGTCGTTTTAAAATCCCGAAGAATCCCATAAAAATCTTTATGCGTCCATAGGTAATTTGTGCGACCCATAAGAATATTTATAGGATCCTCTGTGATTTTAAATTTTTGCTTTATAAGGCTCATTCCCTATTTTACAATAGAGATCGAGCTGGATCTGGACTAAAGCTTGGGGTTTTCCTGTATCCAGAGTCCTGGCTAGGCATTTTTTGGCCTTCCTGGGGTTTTCCTGGACTACAGGCCTAGGTCAATAAATCAAGCCCAGAACCCAGGAACAAGCCCAGGCTTTCAAAAATCTGGATTTCTATTTTCCATTTGACAACTAAAATAAACCAAAAAAGCAACCGATTTCTGTTATCACAAAACCTAATGGTCATAAACCAAAAAAGAGCAAAAATAGGAGCCTACAAAGTCCAAAAATTCCTTAAAATACCCCAATTTAAATTCACAAACCTCAAATCCCTCGGAATTGTAACAAAAATGCGTCTAGCCAAATCATTGCTGCTCAAACGAATAATTAAGTAAATAAATAAAGCAGTCTTCCAAGAAAGCAATTCAGCAAGAAAAATTCCAACAAATATACAGAAAATTGAAAGTTCAAAAAGAAAATCGGAAAAATCGCAATTTTTGAAGAAAGAAGAAAAATTATTTTCTGAAGGTGTTGAGGTGATGATTGGTTTATTTGGAAAATTTTTATTTTCTAAAAAAATTAATTTTAAAAAATGAGAAAAATTTGTGAGATTGAAAACCCGTTTAATTTTTAGAATTTAAATAAAAAAATAAATGGAGGAAAGTAAGAATACCCAAAATCAAAGTCCCTTCTTGGATAAAAAATTTTAAGTGACAACTTTTCAGTCGGGGGAAAGAGTGACAGATCTGGAAAAATCCCAAATTTTCTTAATAGCCGCAGATCTGATACCAAATATATCAATCAATCAGGGGACCGGGATTTTAATTAAAATATTTTAATTTTTGGAATGATTGGCATCAGAGATCGGCCAGGACAGGACCCCGCACAAGATTTTTTAGGATCCTGTCCGAAATCCTGCCTTCTTTCAGTTTTCAGGATTTTCAGGATTAATCCTGCAGGATCCTGTCCTGTTCGAAATTTCAAAACTCAATCATGATACGGGATCCTAATTGGCAATGAGATATAAAAAAGCAAAAACCCCACTTAAATCCAAAAATGTCAAACGGTTATTTTTCACGATCCCTTCACTCCTGCCCTAATTAATTTGAACTTCTAAAAATTTTTAAAATATTAAAATAAATACCAGAATACGTTCCAGAAACAGTCATATGTTTAATAGTATTAGAAACATTTTGGGATGTACATGGTCCTTCTATTTGACATTCACCCATTTTACTGTTCTGAAAAAATAAAAAAAATTTAATTAAAAATGTGTTAAATTGAAAGAAAAAAATAACAGAAGCAACCAAGAAAATCCCAAATTATTAACCAAAAAATTCAAAAAAGGGACACGCCGTCGCAAAGCCATATCTTGCTTCAAGATTTCCTAATCTTATCTAATTTAGTATCAAACGATTCCTCTCATCGAGCTAAGGAGATTGGTATCAGAATTTACAAGGGCTAGTCATTTTACAGCAAGTTATGGCTTTGCGCCGTTATGGCCTCGCGCCGTACTGGGGCCTATGCAAATTAGATCATATTTCTGATATGACATGTCATATTTATGACACGTCATATGTAAAGTTTCTGTTCAAATTGTGTCATATGAAAAATCATATGCGGCCGTCATATGACATGTCATATTTCTGACATGTCATACGCAGCCGTCATATCTCTGTTCAAATTGTGTCATAAATATGATATCAGAAATATGATATCATATTTATGACATGTCATACGCGGCATATGATTTTTCCACTGACATGTCATATCTGCGTTCAAATTAAACCGTGTCATATCTGCGATATGATAGTCCTCCTAGCAAAAATCATATGCGGGTGTATGTACTTTTTAGCGGATACTTAAATTTTTAAAAATTTTTTAAAAATTCAAATTCAATCTAAAAATTCCAAATAAAATATTTTTAAATAGATTAGAGTGTGCTCTATTTTTTGATATAAGTTTCGGGAATTTTTCTTTTAAAATAAATTTATTATAAGCTTTCGCGTAAAGTACCCCATTTTTAGGGAAAAAGGAAAATATTTTTTCGATTAAGCGTCTTTTAAATTTTATAAGTCCTAGGAAAATTAAGCTAAAATTCTGATATTTAACTTTAGTATGTAAAACACTCTCCTCTATCTATTGGTATAAAATTTGGAGGGATTAAGGGTATATATGAGAATTTAGAGGGATTAAGTTGGATATTAGGTTTTTTTGTGATCTTAGGAGATTGATTAAAATTTTAAAAAAATACAATTTTTGTATTTAAAAAAATACAAAAATTCAAAATTAAGTATTTTTAGATAGATTAGAGTGTGCTTTATCTTTTGATATCATTTTTAAAAATTTTCATTTAAAAAAGTTTTATTATAAGCCCTCGCGTAAGGTACCCCATTTTTTAGAGAAAAAAGGAATATTTTCTCGATTAAACGTCTTTTAAATTTTATGTGTTGGGAAAAATTCTGATTTTTACTCATAATATCTAAGACACTCTCCTCTATCTATTCATATAAGAAATGGAGAGATTAAAGGGATAGCTGTGGATTAAGGAGGATTTTGGGGTAATTGAGGGTAAAGATGTCCGAGCCCATTTCTTGGGGTTTTTTGGTCTTGGTCTTGGGGTCTAGTCTTGGTCTTAGAAAATTTTCGGTCTCGGACATCTCTAATTTAGGGTATAGCCAAACAAAAAATTTTCTCGAAAAATAAAATTTGTTGCCCCGTACCCCGACATACATACCCGCCACCGAGCGTTCAAGGCACAACCCTACAAATAAGCCGGATGGAAATTTCATTTTAATTAGATGAAAATTTCATTTTCATCTAATTAAATTAGATGGAAATTTCATTTTAATTAATTAAATTAGATGGAAATTTCATTTTAATTAGAAAACCAAAAACTTCTGAAAATGTCATATTTTATTAAAAATTCCCCCAAAATAAAACCGGTATTTGTCTAAAACTCAAAACCAAAAACCGATTTTTAAAATTTGGATTAACCGAAAACCGGGGGTACCGGTTAATAACCGGTCGTGAGCAACCCTAATTGAAATATATAATTTATTTTTAAATGATCAATTTTTCAGTTTAAAATTACATTTAAATGAAAAAAATTAAAAATCTCAACCAACAATTTTTAATAAAGGGATTTTATAGAATCCATCACGTAACATTTTTGAAATAATCCCGCATAGAGATTTGGTTTTTTAAAATAAATTCATTGGGACTCAATTGAGGTATTCATTGGGACTCAATAAGGAAATCATATGCGGGTGTCATATCATATGTTAATTTGAACAGAATAATTTACATATGACGGCTGCATATGATACGGCGTCATATGTGGCCGTCATATGTAGCCGTCATATCCCCGTGTCATATGCGGCATATGATATCATAAATATGATATCATATCGTAAATATGATACAATTTGAACAGCTACATATGACATGTCATAAATATGACACGTCATATCAGAAATATGATCTAATTTGCATAGGCCCCTGGGCTGTACCTAAAAATTTACTGCCCTTCCCGTCATTAATTAGAACATCAAAAATGAAAAAATCAGAAAAATGTCAGATGGAAAGTCACGTTAATATAAAAAATCTCTTAAATAAAAATATCCTTTAAAAATCCCCCCAAACAATTAAAAGGTGTGAAATATATTTTTGTTTTGGCCAATTTAAAAACCACGAGTGCACTTTTCTTTCCCTTCTTTTTTTAATCTATAACTGATATAGTTTAAATTCCACTATTAAACGGAGAAAAGAGAAGAAACCAGTTTATATGTGGAACTAATTGATAAAATGAAAAGAGAAAAATAAAAAGATTAAGGTAATGGTCTAGATTACGAGTCCAATGAAATTTTGAAGAGTCCAATAAAGGGGCCAAAAAATTCAAAAAAGGAAACGATTCCTCTGATCGAGCTAAAGAGAATCTTGAAGCAATAAAAGGGTAATGGCCATATTTCTGTTTGGGTTTCATTTAAGGTAAACGAATTCTGTGGGACACGCCCAATTAGGCGTGCGGTCAAGGGAACTAAAAAAGCAGCCATAACTAGAATGAAAATTTTCTGGACCTTAACAATTTCGGTACCAATCTCTTTAGCTCGATCAGAGAGTCTCGTTTAGTACTAAAGTTCGAAAGATTCGGAAATCTTGAAGAAAGTTATGACTTTGCGCCTACTTGTCTGCGCGCCCCGTATTCTAATTTTGTTTATTAAAAATACCCCCCCCCCCCCATTTAAATAATTTATAGCAAATTTAAAGATGTGTCTCTCTCTTGCAATAAAATTTTTAAAAAAGCAAGCGTCAAAAAAGCAAGCGTCATTTTAAAAAAGCAAGCGTCAAATTTTTAAAAAAGCAAGCGTTTAATTACCCAAGTTTAAGATTTAAGTTACATTACTCTGGGTAATAACTTATGGAAATGGGCTCCGGTACAAAATATGGAATCGTTAAAATATGGAATGGTTAAAATCGCGAATAGGCTAAAAAGGGGTTAAAATACCGAATCGTTAAAATATGGAATCGTTAAAATATCGAATCGGGTAAAAAAGGGTTAAAATATGGAATCGTAAAAATATGGAATGGTAAAAATGTCGACACGGCCAAAATGGGTCAAAATGTCGAATTCTTTTAAAAAGGGTCAGATTTGTGCCATACGTTGATTGTTGATAATTTTATCAACATAAGTTTATTGATGATAAGTTGATTGATAAGTTTGGTAAGTCGTAGTCCGTCGTAATCTTTTCTGTCTGAGTTCACTGTATTTTACCGAGTAAAACCGGACCGGATAAATCAAGCATAATCGACCGGATCCGGTCCGGCATGATCGTACGGATCCGGAAAACATAACGCGATCCTGATATGGAAAAATTAGAGTGGTATGCATTAGTTTTTAGTTAAGACCTAAAGTTTGACCTTACCGTATACGGTATGGAATACCGAAAAATAACGATCAGCTTTTAAATTTTATCGGTCGGCATTCCGTACCGGACAACCGACAAGGAATACCAAAAAATACCGTCGGTATTATAACGCCCGGATTCAAGGTTTTGGCGGCGCATCTTTAAAAAAATTCGACATTTTGACCTATTTTGGCCGTGTCGACATTTTATCAATTCGATATTTTAACGATTCCATATTTTAACCCTTTTTTAGCCGATTCGATATTTTTACCATTCCATATTTTAACGATTCCACATTTTAACCCCTTTTTAGCCTATTCGCGATTTTAACCCATTTTTACCCGATTCGAGATTTTAACCCTTTTTTAGCCTATTCCATATTTTAACGATTCGATATTTTGTCCGGACACGTGGAAATGTCGTCAATAAATAATCAATCAACATCCACAAAAAGAAATGCAAATACGCCATTAAATTTATCTGGCACATCAGTTAACGACAAACGCTCACGACTAATTGAGCAAATCAATAATTTAAATTTTCAAGAAATTTTACAACAAATGAATAACGACACCACAACACCTCCGTGGGTAAAAATTCTAATGACCCAAATGCAGCAGATATTAACATTGACTTCTGAATTGATAGTGGAACAACAACAACAAACTGGGAATCAACAATCTAACCAACTTCAATATGGTGAATTTAGGCAAGAAATGGAAGAGAAGGAAAGACGCCACTGTCTCGTGCTTAATGGATTACCAGAAAGTGAACAAGCCGAATCAATGGAGAAGGCTAAGGATGATCAACAACGAGTTTTACAGGTTTTAAATGAATGTAAGGTTTCAAGTGCTTTGCCAAGTGGGATTTTTCGTATGGGGAAAATTAATCAAAATAAACCTCGCCCAATTAAAATTAAATTTCCTTGTTCATATGCTGTTCGGGAGGCACTCTCAGGCAAAAAAATTTCTAAAAAATCAATACAAACATTTACATTTGCGAGAGTCCCTTTCCAAAACAGAACTTGCCAATCGATCCATTCTTATTAAAGAGTGTCATGAAAAACGTAAGGCGCATCCCGGTGCCGACTTCATTATATATGCAGGTATGGTAATTTTGCGGGAGGAGATCCCAATTTTTCGCACAACCATAAATACAAATCCACACTCAAAAAACTTAATCTCCTCCCACTAACTTGTCAGCCAATTTATAAAACAGCCCAAAAAACTCCGAATTGCGTACAAATAATCAATAAGAACTGTAAAAATAAAAAGAAAATTTTTAAAAAATCCAAAAATATAAAATGCATTTGCTTTAACGCTCGTAGTTTATTAAATAAAATGAATGAATTTCGGTCATTGCTAAGCACCCATATATACCAAATCATAGTCGTTAGCGAATCCTGGCTTCATAAAGAAATTTGTGATAGTTTTATTCTACATACATTAGATTATGAGATTTTAAGATCAGACAGACCATCCAAAAAAGGTGGCGGCGTTTGCGTTCTAATTCATAAGGCATTACCGTTCAAACAATCCAAAATTTTAAAAACAAATAGTTTCAACCTAATATCATTCGACTTGTTATTACCGCAACTCCAAACAATAAGAGTTATTGCTGTTTACAGGCCCCCTGGGTTTCAAAAATCACAAGATTTTTCTAATTTCTTGGAAAATATATTGTACTGCTGCACCACTGAAAATGCGTGTATAATGTTGGGAGATTTTAATTTTCCTGGAATAGAATGGGAACAATTCTTACCTGTTTCACACACCACTCAGATTGAAAACGAATTTTGTGAGTTTACTAATAGCCAACAGTTAATACAACTTGTCTCTCAAGGTACTAGGGGAAAAAATATATTAGATCTTGTTTTTACTAACACACACAACTTAATACACAAGTTAGAAATAGCACCCCCTTTCTCAACATCGGATCATACCAGTATAATTTTTGAACTAGAACAAATAATAACTTATGAACCAACAAAATATATCAAGGATTTTAAAAAAGCGGACTATAAAACAATTAACCAATACCTAGCTTCAATTGATTGGATAACCATATTTGGGCACTCCAATGATATAAACATCAACTATAAAAATTTTTCTGACATAATTAACGAAACTATAAACTTTTTTATACCTTGTCTAACTATAGAAAATAAACTAAAAGGATTACCGACTCATATTAAAAAATTATTAGACACTCAAGAGGGTTTATGGAAACGAAACATTCATAAAACGAATAGGCCAAACTATTTGAAGGTAACTCATCTAATAAGGAAACAGATGCTGAAATTTCGGAAAAATAAAGAAAAAAGAATAATACCCCACCCAAAAAAGAAATTCGCATATGTTGGCGCTTTTCTTAAATCAAAAAATTTGAAATACTCAACAATGGTAGACGATCACAATAACATAATATTCACAAATAAACAGAAAGTTAACATACTTGCATCTCATTTTAGTTCAGTCTTTAAAAACAGTGGGACTAACACACAAATTACAAACAAAACTTCCCCACTATTGAATACAATAGATTACATGGATTTTTCAGTTTACGATATATTTAATTATTTAACAAAATTAGATAATAAGAATAACACATCACCTGATAATATACCTAATATCTTTCTTAAAAACTGTGCACAAACATTGGCATATCCACTCTTTAGTTTATTCTCTCTATCATTAATGACAAAAAAGGTATCTGATCTCTGGAAAGAAAGTATAATCGTTCCAATTCAAAAGATTCCAAAAGCTAAAAAATCTAACGACTTTAGACCAATCTCTCTCCTCTGCTCAACTGCCAAAATTTTAGAAAAAATATTAGCCTCTAAATTAGTTGAACATGCCCGGAAAAACAGAATTTTTCCACAAGAGCAACATGGATACCATATGGGTAGATCCGTAACAACCCAACTTCTAGAAGTTATGGATGATCTTACAATGGCATTAGAAAATAAAAAATCCGTAGATATAATCTACTTCGATCTGTCAAAAGCATTTGACACCATATCCCACGAAAGATTATTAAGTAAATTAAAATTATTAAATATTCCAGATACTCTAACTAAATGGCTCAAACATTATTTAAGCAATAGAACTTTCTCTGTAAAAATCCATGAATCCTTTTCTGAAAAAATGCTCATAAAAAGCGGAGTACCACAAGGCTCCCTACTTGGTCCCATATTGTTTTTATATTATATACATGATTTAACTGAATTCTGTTATACAGAAAATGTAACTGTTAAACTATATGTAGATGATATTAAGGCGTATTACATTTTCAAAGACAATCCAGTCAATTCAAACCCTTTGCAAGAATTTATTGAAAAATTTTCCGAATACACAGAAATAAACGGATTGGATATAGCTATAAAGAAATGTAATATATTACATCTAGGCACTAAAAATCCTCGCACCATTTATACAATAGAAGATACACACATAACAGAAATTGGTAGAAATCAAACTGTAAGGGATTTAGGTATTTTCTTTGACCATGAGTTAAAATTCCATAATCATATCGACATTATTTGTAATAAAGCTAGGAGAATTAGTTATACAATTCTTAGGTCCTTAAAATCTAATGATGAAAGATTCTTAATTAATATGTTCACCACATATGTAAGAAGTATATTGGAATTTAGTTCTCCTGTCTGGAATCCTTACTATAAAAAATACATTAACAAAATAGAAAAGATTCAAAAAGATTTCGTAAGGATGGTATATAACCGCAAGCATAATATAAGACTTAATGAACGAATCCCTAACTACTCTGAACTCCTCAGATTATATCATATAGATTCTTTAGAGAATAGAAGAATTATAACAGATCTTAAAATCTTTCACAAGCATTGCATAGGATTAAGCCCAATAAATATAAATAACCCCTATTTCATCATTCCATCTAAAACAAGGGGGGACGAAAACAAAATATCACATAAAGCATGCACCTCAATTACTAGACATAATTCATTTTTTGTAAGGACTATAAGGTCCTTACTACCAGCATACTTTAGAAAATTAGATTACAAAAATTTCGCAAAAAACATAACACATATTAATTTTTCCCGCAATTCGGAGGCTGAATTAAGTTAAATTTAAATTTATACTTATAATTTTTTTTTATATACTATTTATTTACATTCTTTTTGTTTTTTAATTTATTGACATGATTTTGTTTTTATATATATTTTTTTACTTGATTTCGTTTTTTATTGTTTTTTGACTTGACTCGCGCCATCAAGGCGTAAATAAATAAATAAATAAATAAAAGAAAAACAAGCGACAGTCGATTAAATTCTCTTCTCATTCATTTATTAGTGGAATTTAGACAGTTTAAGGGTCATTTAACCGCAAAGCGGCGATTAGAAAAAGGATAGTTAAAATGAAATTTATTTGGAAAATTTTTGTAAATGATCAGGAAACGTTAAAGAAACCTCGATTTTAAATGTTATTTTGATAGGAAAGAATTATACTCGAAATTATGGTTGGGGGTTTCGGACCGGGCCGACATTCGAGTCATTCTTTTCAGGCCTTATTTTTATCCGACCAGACCACCGAGTCTTTTTTCGGGCCAAAATTCGAGCCCGACTTGATCTTTCCGACCGCCTCAAGCCTATTCAAAATGGAGGGTATACGCAGAACTAAAAAAATTTATTCCCACAATCTATAAATCAGATTTTCAAGAAAGATCAGATTCAAAAAAAATTTTTTTTTAATATTTTACTACCATCCATCATCTTATCTATTTTTTGTCTTTAATCAAAACGGAGTTTATGTTTATTTATTTACTCCCTTTTTCGAAAACATTTTTTGGTAATTATATGTAACATTCATATTTGGCGGGACAAACAGGCGTGCAGCCAAGTAGGCGCAAAGCCATAACTAGCTGGAAAATTTTCTGGACCTTAACAATTTTGGTACCAATCTCTTTAGCTCGATCAGAGGAATCGTTTAATACTAAATTTTGAAAGATTCGGAAATCTTGAAGAAAGTTGTGGCTTTGCGCCTACCTTGCCGCACGCCTACTTGGGCTGTACCCATATTTGGTAATTGTAAATCTGATGGGGGTTGGGGTCATAAGGGCGCGGGCCATTAGGGCGCCAGCACTAGAAACTGAACTCAAATTTGTTTAACATCATTGACTACCTCCTCCAGAAATTTCAGAATTTTTCATCGAATATTTCTGAGTTAAGCGAAAAATTAGGGTTTTTTGGAAAATCAACATTTTTTGCCACAATTTCCGAAATTCTTGATCAAAAATTCTGAAATTTTTGAAAACGTAGATAAAGGCATGAAAGTTATTATTGCAAAATTTTATCATTTTTGATAAGCAACTCACTGTTTTATAAGCTCGCCCCCTAATGACCCCGCGCCCTAATGGCCTAGTCCCTCTGATGCAAGATCAGATTATCAAATTTAAAGAAAAAAATAAAAAATAAATTTAAGGCAGTCCTTGCCATTAAAAATAAAAAAACCCAAAGAAAATCTCAATTCTTTAAACAATTTTTTTATTTTAATAAAAAAATGAGCGGTCATTTTTAGTCCCCCTCCTTATCCCAATCACTTCAATTTATTTATCAAGCTTTTTGCGTAATTTCCATTCCATGTACCATCTCTTCTTTAACAATTAAATGTGCAACTTTATTAATTGTGCTAGTCAATTTGTGGATATTAGAACCCCACTAGGATGAAAAAAAATTTTTTTCCTTTTAAAAAAATAAAAAAATAAACCTGATCCAATATTTCAACTGTTGAAAGTTTTGGACTTAAATAAATAATTTGAGAAGGACGGTGAATTTTGGCATCTGGAATAACACCCTCAACAATTAATTTACAAACAAAGGTTTCCATTTGCTAAGAAAAAAATTTTTTTAAGTTTAAAAATTTGTTTTATAGAGGGGGAGTCATGAAGCCATGAAAAAATTTTTGGGAGGGGGGGGGACTAGAGATAGGTCTGGATCCAGTCTGGATTATTCCTGGATCCAGAGTCCAGATCCAGGCATTTTTTGATCGTCCTGAATTTTGTCTGGATCCAGATCAAGTATCCTATCCAGGTTACTAACCTAAATCAAGATCCAGGATTTTTGAAAATACCGATCTCTAGGGGGAACTACGTGCTTTCAACCAGACATTAATTTAAATTTTTTTAAATTTGGTTGGCCACGAGGCGAAGAGATGTCCGAGCGATTTTTAAACCCCTATTTAACGTATAACTCGGTAGAAGACAAAATTTTTCAATCCAAAGGATGTAGAATAAAAGTCAAATCCAATTGTTTCTTTAGAAATATGGGAAGGGAATCCCAAACTAATTTTTATTTTAAAAATAAAACCTCAATATTAAATTCCAAAAGTTTAGCCATTTGTTGAAAACTGATTCGAGTGTAATATTTAGAAATCATTCTAACATTATGCTCCCCAACACAATCATGAAGACGTTCCTTTCGTTTAATGCCTTCAGGTTTGGACATTGGGAAGACCTGAAAATTTCTGTTTTAAAGTTTTCCTTGGGAGTTTAAAGGATTTATTTTTAAGGAATTTCTTTAAAGAAACTCAAAAAGAAATATCCAAAAAGAGAAGAATAGTCAGAAGTGAGTACAGCCCAAAACAACTCTAGCCAGAAAACTTCCGGCCCTTATCAATTTTGGTACCAGACTCTTTAGCTCGATGAGAGAAATCGTTTAATACTAAATTTGTTAAGATTAGGAAGGCTTTGCGTTGTTATGGCCGCGCGTTGGTTTGGGCGTGTCCAGTCAGAAGTGAGTCGAAATTCCGTTTCTCGGAAATTTTTCTAAAATTTCCGACATTTGGTCTATTTCCTCCCGACAATTTCGTCAAAATTCATTCATATGTGAAACATCAAAGAGCCCAACTAAAAATCCCTCATATTTAAAAAAACCTCCAAATTCGGCATCGAACCAGCAACTCCATCAACCGCCATTTTTTCATCTGTTGCCTTTTCACCAAATAAAATTTCTGAATATTCCCCTTCAATCGTTTCTTTCCAAAAAATTAATTCTTGCCGAATAAATAATTTTAACAATTCTTTATGTTGTGGCAATTTCTCCAATTCTCTCATTCCTTTTATTCTTTGCAACAAATCCCATTTTTCACAATCATGCGGAGATAGAAGTAGATAGAAAACGATACATTTTAACAACTTTAAAGAGAAATATTTTATTAAAATATTTAAATTAAAGATATATAGTAACTAAACCAAGGCTCACTACATAACAGCAAGGGCGTAGCCAGTGGGTCGATTTCAGGGGGACTAAAATGGGGTGTGTGCGCTTTTCTGACCATTTCCCTCCTAAATTTTTTTCATTTTCTCCATTTCAAGAGGGGGCTATATCCCCAGAAGCCCCCTGGCTATACACTTGCATAGCGGTATAATTTGGCTAATTAAATCTAAAATGCCCTAATATGTTTGTTTGCATTTCGATGAGTTGAATCAAACCAAACTTTAGCGTCCATGATTCCAAATTTTTAATGGTTAAATCTGACAATGAGTAACCTATTGTTAGCGTGTTTTCGGAGTAAAAAAATTATAGAAGTCAAAAATCAAAATTGTCTTGCTTCCTTTAACCGAAGGAAGTTAAAAAAATTTAGATTATATTCTAACCTAATTGGAATTGTTATAATTAGGGCTGTCAGTTCCTGGAAATTCTTCGGATATCCGAAACCGAAGAACCGAAAAATCCACGGTTCTTCGGAACGGTCCAGAACCGACAACCCTAGTTATACTAGTAATTTTCAAAAAACCTCCAAATGTGTGTGAGGATCTTCTGCAGATTTTGGCGTTTTGAAAATAGATAGAAAATGTTTACAAACATCCAAATAGGACTCATCATTAAGCCCGATTTGTATCATATATTTATAAAACTCCAATTTCATCAATTCAATCTAAAATTTAAAAAATAAAATCAACAAAAATAGAAAACCTCATCTCCTTCACGATCAAAAAATTTGTCACTAATTTTACGCGAAATGATTGTAGCACGAGTGTATTGCTCTTTTTGAATTGATAGACGCATTTGATGAAGCAGAAATTTGACCTTAAAAACAAACAATTTTATAAATTCATTTTCTGAGGAATGTAGAATAAATTTGGGAGTCAATAAAAACTTGCAGTGGTATAATTCCGTAATGTAAAACCCAGACCCGTAGCCAGGTTAGCGTCCGGAGGCTGAAATTCCGCAACGGATATGATCAGGCCCGTAGCCAGGATTTTTTTCGGGGGGAGGCCAAGGGGGAAAATTTTTCAACCCCGAAATTTTGATTTTTGAGCACAAATTTTGAGAAGTTTAAAAGGCCGTAGGCCCCCACCCCAGGCTACAGGCCTGTATGATTTCCCTGTGGAAATCTTTCCCGGCTACGGGCCTTCCCAAACTCATAAAAAGTGCCAAATAACCCTTCTACTCTATCAGACATTCATAAACTAAATGTCTCATAAAAATCCAATGTTGTTCGAATATTTAAGGGAAAATATAAAAAAATTAAAAATTAAAACAACCCTTTTAAAACAACCTTTTCCGTAATCTCCATAGATCCATAAGTCTCCACTTGCATTTCCATAATCATCTCACAAGCTTCATCCAATTTTCCTTCTGCTTCCAATTTATTCACAACACGTTTTGTTAAACGAGCACGTTCCACTTCGACATAAATCTACAAAAACAACAAATAAATATTTAAAACAAGACAAACAAACCTTCCCAGCAGTAACTGCCCTGAGAGTTTCAATAAATCTTTCCTTTGTGCTCTCATTTGGAAGCTTTTCTATCATTTCGATACAATCCCGAATCTAAAAATTAATAAAAATAATTAATAAGAAATGGATATATTTGTTGGAAAAATAAGGAAAATTAGAAAAAAAACTGAGATCTAAGAAAAAACCAAACAGGCAAGGACTAGAGCTTCGCCAGAGGTTCCGGTAGGCCGCAAGTTTAGGGATTTTTTGGTTCCGGTTCCAGTCAAAATTTCAATTCCAATTCCGACCAAATTTGCGGTTCCGGAGAAACACTAGCGAGGACCCTAGACATAATAACAAACTGACAAGAAAGTCAGCAATGTCAAAAAAAAACTCAGAAAAAATTCAGAAAACCCAAAAATCGTATAATCAAACAAAAAAAACAGATGGGGAAAAGAAAAAAATACTAAAAAATAATTTCCCCAAAAAATTCAAACCATGTAAGTCATATTCATCTTGATGAGAGCTCGCTTTTTTGAAAGTGCTTTAACTGTTTCATTTAATAAATCCCATTGTTTAGCATCAAAAGCCAATTTAACCATATGACGAACAATACGTTCATTTGATTTTGTGTCACAATCCAAACGAGATTTCTTTTCAAGTTGTTGCAATAATTCAATAGCTTCACGAGTTGATCCCTCCTATAAATTAAAATGAAGATACCAGACTAGGACATGGATACGGATACAGATAACATAAAAATGCCTCGGATATCCGTCTATATCCGCCGTAACTGGACACGGATACCAAAATCAGTATCCGTGTCCTAGTCTGGAAGATTTAACAGTTTATCAAAATATGTAAAATTTTCTTAACGTCTTTTGAGAGTATAAAATAAAACAATGTCTTGATCTAGATCTAGACCTTGATCTCCTTGGACAAGTTAAAGTCACGGATTTTGGTAAAATTTCGGTTTGTATGACCACATTTTTATCATCTTTCCATCTCGCTAGAAAACAAAGAGAAGTGCCTTTTCAATATCGTAGAGGTTTACCAGTAGGTAATAAGTGTGCTGAGTCCGAATATGAGTCAAATTTTGTTTATCTACGATCACGGACTAGAAGAAGAATTAATTTTAGAGAACACTCGATTACCTAATGGCAAACCTTTCAAATATCGAAAAAGTACTTCTTCCTTTTTATTTTCTAGGGAGATGGAGGAATGAAGAAAAAAGGGGTAAACCGAAATTTTACTTTTCGAGTTCCTTGATTTATTTGACTCAAGAATCTGGTCAAAAACGGCAAATGAGATCAATGAAGCCTAGTAGAGTTTAGGTTTTCGAGTCGGGCGACATTCGAGTCTTTTTTTCGTGCCTCATTTTTACCGGGCCAGACCGACCGAGTCTTTTTCGGGCCAATACAATGCCCGACTCGATCTTTCGGACAGGGCCGGATCGGGCCCCCAACCCTAAAGCCTAGCTTTGTGTACATCCCAAAGGACTCGCTCCACCCTTAAACTCTCCCAAATCCCCTCCTTTAAACAAATACCAGTCAAAAAATTTTTTGTATTTTTACCTTTTGTTTCTTATCGGCCTCAACTATCGCCTTGTCCGTATCAGCAGAATAATCAACTTCCATTTTAGAAAGCCTCCCATCTCCAAAATTGCTAATTTGTGCAAAAACGTCATTCATTTCATTCATTTTACTCGGCTTTTCACCAACTGGAACTTTAATTGGTTCGACTTCTTTCAACGGCATTTTTGATGAATAAAAGAATTTTTTTAAATTTTTATCTAAAAATAAAGGAAAAAAATATTAAAATAAATTAATTTTGAAAAGCGGAAGGGATTAAAAGGAATAACAAAATAGCATGGGATAAAATGTCATTTATCATCAAATTATAAACAGAATGCCAAAAAGTGTGCAAAATTAAAAGAAATTTATGAAAAATACCGTTATGTCACTCATACTCAGATTTGGACAAACAATTTGTCGTGTAAAGTATATAGCTATTTAATTCCTAAGGCTGTGCAGTAGGCGTCGTGGTGTAATGGCTAACACATCAGTCCGAACTTTGAAGATGCTGGTTCGCTCCCAGCCGCCGAATAACCTTTTGCACTAGCTAAAGGAGAGAAATAGCTATAGCCCTGCTGCTTTACTGTCATTCGAAAGAGAATCGACGAGCTGACTCGATTGACGCCAAAATTTTAGCGTAGGGCTCATATATGGGCCGAGATACATGCCCTTGAAAAGTGAAAAGCATTATGGTGGATAAGTTAATTTTTGGGGTGAAAAATTCCGGTACACCTCAATTGAGTCCCGACTCGATTGAGTCCCGGACCCTATAACTTATGAAGGGATGGTCACCTTTTGTTACTCTTGGTACCATTGGATAGGGCATTAAATAGGCTATAATATACAAAAAAATCAAAATTCCTGACCGACTGGTAAAAAAGTTATGATCGATAAAGTGCCGAAAAATCAGATTTTTTTGAAAAAGTTAGTTTTTAAATCATAACTTTTTTATCAATCAACCAAAAATTTTGATTCTTTGGTATATTGTAGGCCATCTAATGCTCTATCAAATGGTACCAAAATCAATGAAAATTATCAATCCGTACTTGAGTTATAGGGCCGGGACTCAATTGAGCCGGGACTCAGTTGAACTGCTCCGGAAAAATTCGAGTCGAATGATACCAAAATCAACGTGATCAACCACCTTCGATTTGGACAATCGAAGTATACAATACAAAAATAGCCAATTACATGCCAGTCTCTATTATGTATAATGCCAGTTTCGAAGGTGATTGAAAATGCCATGGCATTCTAATAGAGAAAATACGATATCTAATAGAAAATCTGAACTCTTTAATTGAACGTTTTAAATAATTAATACATTCTTGTTTAAAAAATATTTTTTATTAAAGGCACCTGGCAATTAGTCAAGAAAAAAGTACAATTTTATAAAGTTGATTGTAAACAATAATTAAATCTTTCGAATTAATTTTCTTTAAAAGTTAAAACATCTGTTGTGGTGAAAGTCTTTAATAAATTTTTAAAAAATTTTTCTTTTATTTCTTTGAAAAATATTTTATTTTATTCGTATCCTTTGGCACAGACTGCTTGACGTCGTTTTTGTTTTTACAATTAAAAAGAATAAAACTTTATTAGACTTTTGTAAAACAAAAATTAATGTTTTAAAAACCTAGAAATAAACTTGTTTTCAAACAAACATTACCCTACAAAATGTTTTAACCTAGAAAAACATGTTAACAAACAAACATAATTTTTGTAAAACATGTTTTAAGAGTTAGAACTTGTTTTCAAACAAACATTTCTCCTAAACAATGTTTTGGAAACTTAAAAACATTGTTTTCCTAGAAACCCTTAAAATATTTTACTTTAAAACATTATTAAAACATTGATTAAAACATAAAAACTTTTACAAACATTGGTTTATTAAAAACATAAAAACATGTTTGTCTTTAATCTGAACATTAAAACATGTTTTACAATTGCTAAAAATGATATTAAAACATATGTTTTTCTCAAACATTTAAAAATATCAAAACATGCAGTAAAACAAAGTTACAAATTTAGGTAAACATAATGTTTTACTGTATGTTTTAATGTTTGTTAAAAAATGTTTGGGGAAAAACAAATGTTTCAATAGCATTTTTAACAATTGTAAAACATGTTTTACAATTAAAAAGAGTTGAGATTTGACCACTTTAAAGAATTTTTTTAAGAAAACATGTTAATAGGAGAAATATATTCAACAATAATTTATTGTTTTGCAACATTTGGATTGTTTTCCAATTTGTTTTTAATTTGGCTAATATTGCGTTATACAATGAAAGAAATGCAAGTTTATAGCAAAATACTTTTACAAACTTGTTTTGTTGATATTGTTGGGATTTGTATGTTTGTTGTTTCTCAACCGGTAAATATTTGGGCGGCGAAGCTTTTTGGCGTGACTACCCATAATTATGCGCCTAAATACATAGGACATCTACTTAAAATAAAATTCATCTTATTAAAAATAGGTTTTTGTGTCTGATAATGGTATCGGCACAACTTGGAATTACGGACCTATACATTTCCTACCAAATCCTTGGCAATTTATACTTCTCCGTATTAACAATTTTACGGCAAGATTTAGCTCAATGAATGTCTGCACATTATTTATTTATCGTTATCTAGTGGTTGTACGGTAAAACCTCTTTAAAACATTTAAAAATCAAGACTTATGATTTAGCGAAGTTGATATTAAATTTAAACACCAATTATTATTAATTTTTGGTTCGATAATTCCATTAATAATTTTAAATATTTGTTCTTCTATATCAAACTATCCAACTTCAGAAGACGAATATTTAACAAATTATAATGTGACAAAACTATTAGAATTGGATAATTATACAATTAATAATTATGTTGTTGGACTCAAAGTAAGAGTAAGTTGTATGTAAATTTGTTTCCCAACAAGGAGGGGGGGGGGGAATTAGGAAAAATTTTTTTGCGCAAGTTTTGACACGGGGGAGTGTGGAGGGAGGGGGAGTTACAAAAAGTATCAAAATCCCGACTTTTGTGGACTGGGAAAAACTCTATTAAAGTTATCTGATCAGACTAGACATGAAGACAGTCGGCTTGAGTGTAGACGGAACAAAAAATTAACCCGGAGAGACCTCCACTTTCCTTGAGTGCCGAAAATTGGGCTCTGGAAAATTGGGCTCCAAGATTTTTCGGAAAATTGGGCTCCAGCGGAAATTTGGGCTCTATGAGAAAAAAACGGAAAATTGGGCTCCAATTTTTTAGGCGCGGGGAATTGTGGGCGTCGGAGTTAATTTTTGGATTTTTCCGAAAACTGACACAAAATTTAACAACCTAGACTTATGGGTGTCGGCGAGGCGCTTGTGCAAAATCCCGCGCTTCGCGCGGGATTTTGCGGCACGCGCCTCGCGGGAGTCAACGGTCGCTGGGTTCTACAACAGCACATAAACCTATTCCTTTTACTGATTTTCAGCTTTGAAATAACGACCTACCCACTAATTATCAGCACAAAAATAGTTATTACAGAGAATTTTGTGATATTTTTCGGAAAAATCCAAAAATTAACTCCGACGCCCAAAATTCCCCGCGCCTAAAAAATTGGAGCCCAATTTTCCGTTTTTTCTCATAGAGCCCAAATTTCCGCTGGAGCCCAATTTTCCGAAAAGTTGGAGCCGAATTTTCCGAAAAATCTTGGAGCCCAATTTTCCAGAGCCCAATTTTCCGGACACCCTTTCCTTGAAGAATTCCCTTCTCCATGGATCACCTCTAAAAACTCCCAATTGTCACTTGAAAATTTATATTTAAAATTCAGACTAATAATCTATCAATTTTTATTTCAAATTATGCTTCAGCATTAACTATAATTACTTACATAATAATTATTTTTTGTGGTATAAGTATTCAAATACATGTTTATCGTCATTGCAAAGGTGTAGAAATGACTCGAATACGTAATATGAATAAACAATTAAGTATTGCTTTGGGGGCACAGGTAATGTGGGACATACCCAAAACGGCGCGCGGCCATAACGGCGCAAGGCCATAACTTGCTTCAAGATTTCCTAATCTTAACGAGTTTAGTTTAAACGATTCCTCTCATCGAGCTAAGGAGATTGGTACCAAAATTGATAAAGGCCAGACATTTTCCACCAAGTTATGGCTTTGCGCCGTTATGGCCGCGCGCCGTTTTGGGCTGTACCCAGGTAATGCACATATAACCTGGTACTGGTCACATAATTTAGAATCAAATTGTAAATTATCCATTTTCGAATAGATTGGCCAAGAAATTATCGAATATTCGATCGAATCTCGAAAAATTTACCAAATCCTCAAGTACTGAGGATGTGGAGGGATTAAGTGGGATATACCGTATAACCTGTATTAAATGCCCTCCCTTAAATAATTACCCCATCCAGCGATAGATTGAAACAATAATTACCCCCAAACAAAGGCCCTAAAACACGTTGAAATTTCAAACTTCATGTAATTACCCTCTCTCGATTTATTACTCCCTCCAGCGGAAGGTCAAAACAATAATTACCCAGGGTAGTTAGTAAAGGATATACGGTAGGTTGATCTCAAGGATTTAGGAGACTACTCATTTTTAGAATACGGCCCCAGCCCTTCTCTTTAATGTTCAAATTTATAGGCTATTCTACCTATATTAACCTACGCTTCTACATTATTCGCCAATTTAAATTTTTTATTTAATTTGCCTGGTTTATTTTCATCAACTATTATAATCTTTTTTACTAATAGTTTTGGATCTTTAGTTACTGTTTTAAACCCTATTGTAAGTTAATTTAATATTTTCAAACTTTGAAAAAATAAATTTAAAAGGTAACAATTTTGAGTGTAAGAAGCTACAGACAAATAATTTTTCGATGCAAAAATAATTCAAATATTAATCAAATTGCTCCAATGCCGGAAACTTCAATGCCTGATAGAACTATACAATACATTAAATAATTAAATTTTATATCGAAAAATGTAGATTTTTTTGGGGCTAAAATAAAGTTATGAAAATATTTTGTAATTCAGAAATGTATTTAAAGGATTAAAAAATAACAAATGATATATTAGAAGAAATGAGAAGGGTTAAATGATGCTCTACGTTCGATAAAAAAACCAGTCAATTCAAACATTGGGGAGAGCCTAGCCTGGGAGTGTCGTACGAGAATTGAGATCTCGAAAAAATCTTGGTAATTAAAATTTGTTACGAGATCTCGTCTCGGTCCGGGCTCTAGTTACGACAACTGGGAATACGCGATTGTACAAGATGCGACAATTGCGGTCGGCGATTACGGATATAACAATAACGGAAGACAATTCCGGATTTGGCAAATGCAGATTTAAAATTTTTTAAGCAGTATTGAAATATTATCAAGTTTTTTAGCCCTTCGAATCATTTCTTTAATGAAGCGACACCAAAACCTTAAAAATTTATGTATATCCGCAATTGTCGTATCGCCAATTGAAATGATAAAAAACAAAATTTGTTCTTTCAATTATTTAATAAAAAACCTGAATAATTTCACTCAAAAAATATTTTTAAAAACAACAAATATTTAAAGATCAAATCGCCATTATATCCTTCAATTTTCTTCAAAATTTCCAATTAATTTGAAGGCGGTGGAGGGGGCGGCGGAGGTGCTAAAAAGATTTTTTTCGAGCAAAACTTATTTAAAATAGAAACAATTCTTACCACTAAGCGGCGGAGGTGGCGGCGGATTTGGAGTAGACATTGGAGTTGGTGGTTGTGATGGGGGTGGGGGCGGTGGAGGAATGCTTTGTCTAAATTTAAACAAAATTTTGTAAAAATAATTTAACTTTTTAAAAAACCTAGACATTGGCGGAGGCGGCGGTGGTGGAAACATATGTTGACCACCCATTCCCATAGGTGGAGGTGGTGGACGAGGAATGTGCTGCATTGGAGGCATTGGTGGAAGTCCAATTCCGCTGTGTGGGATGAATCTATAAATTAATTTTTAATTTAAAAATAAAATTTATTTTGGGTAAAAAATGAAAAATTTTGATTTTTTACTCATTTTTTCCTGTGGGGCTCGAAGAGCTAGGACTCAGAAAAAAGGAATATGTTAGAAATGTAGAGACAGAAAAACAGCCCCAAAATTAATCTCATTTAATTTAGCTACAAAAGGTAGAATGAGTTAACACCCTCTGCCTATCTCGATCAGGGGCCTATTTCAATTTTCCACAGATTTTTCTGTGGAAACATAAAAACCATGCAAAAACCACAAAATTCTATTTCAATTATTTTTCTGTGCACAGAATGCAGAATCTGTGGACAATTGAAATAGGCCCCAGCTGTGGGCCCATAAAATTCGAAATCCCCCAAAAAATCTTTTAAATTAAAAAAATAAACAAACCCCATTGCCATTCCCGCAGGTGATATATGCATCGGTGGCGGTGGAGGCATCATTCCCGGAGGCATTGGTGGCAATCCTTGCGGTACTGAAGGTGGTGCTGGTGGCGGAATTGGCATTGGTCTTAAAAATATATAAAAATAAGATAAAATTAAAAATAACCAAATTTTAGAAGGTAAAAGGAAAATCAAAAAATAAAATTCACCTTAGCCTCATAAAACCTTTCCTAAACCCAAATAAAGAAAACCTCAATCCCGGCACATCAGAAAATATCTGATGAGGTCTGTCATGTAGAAACAACGGATTTTGTGATGCCAATAGACGCTCTGCAGCAGTTCCGTGTCGTTCACCTTTTGTGTCCTTTTTGAAAGCATAAGAGCATGTAATAGGTCGATTACAAAGAAATTGGCCATTCATCGCCTCCAAGGCTAAAAATAAATTTTAAAAATTTGAAATAAAATAAAGAAGGCTCCATAAAAGTAGGTACCAAGAGCGTATCCAGAGGGTAGATTTCGGTTTTTTTTGATTTCCAAAATTTTGGTGCTCACTTTGACGTTCCTAACACACATTTTTTGTACATAAATCATCCTTCTCATAAATGTTTCCACCTTTGCCCCATTTCGGGGGGGGGGGGCTTCAACCCTCCTGAATAAGCCCTTGGTATTTACAGAAAAAAATGTAAAGATGGATTAAGCTCAAACCATAACCAGGAGATAGCCCCCCCCTGTAAAAAATTTGGTTACGGGCCTGATTCAGATTTTCAAACAATTAACAAAAGTGGTCCTAGCAAAGGCCAATTTTCTAGAAAACTGGTCTGATTCAAGGAAATTAGCTTGTGAATACGCCCTAGACAAGTGGAAAAGTTGGGAGGGTACTAGAAAGAAAAATAAAAATAACCAGCATCAGAAGCCTCAAAAGACGCAAAATTAATAAAAGCAAATCCTTTGCTAGATCCAGATTCAACATCACGCATAATTTTGGGCGGCTAATAAATTTAAATATTTAAGAATTAATTATTCAAAAAAACCTGTAAAATAACACCAAAAGCGCTAAAAGTATCGAACAACAATTTTTCGTCAACTTCAGCAGCTAAATTACCAACAAACAAATTAGCACCAACATCCATTTGTTTTTCGTTTGCAGAAGCTTTATTAACTGAAATGGAAAGAGAAAATTTTCTTTTTAAAATAAAAATTATTTTTTGAAATAAATCCTAATTCTGAGAATATGTAAAAAAGGGATCGCGCTGACCCGATTCACGAAAATCGGGAATTCCCGTAGATTCTGAGCTCGTGAATTCACGATTTACAAAAATCGAGAATTTGGTTTTCTGTCGGCGCAATCCCTGTTGTAAAATCCAAAATCAAACTAAAAAGTGAATAAATTTAGGTAATGACTATTTTTTGGTTTTTGAATTAAGTCTCGTTTGTTCCAACGTTTTTTTACAAAAATTTAAAGTTGTATGGGGTTAATATCTGCTGTAAAACTTGTTCTTCAAGTCTATTCAGTTGTACAAAATATTTAGAATATCATAGAAATAAAATATAAGAGAAAACAAACGAAAATTCTAAAAATCTCCCTAATACTTTGGCCTCCTTTTCCTCTCAATTTTTTCCATTGTTTTTTGACCTTCTTCCTCATTTTTTCTTCACCTTTACGAAGAGGAATAACCAAAAGGCTTCCTCTACCAAGAGGAAAAAATGTCATAAAAATAACGAAAAAAAGGGGGGGGGCGTCAGTTAGTATTTTCGTCAGCACCAGAAATCGAGCTGGGCCTGGACAAATGCCTGAGGTTTTTCCTGAATTACAGGCCCAGGATTCGGTACAGGTCAATAAATCGAACCCAGAACCCAGGAACACCCAGACTTCTCAAAAATCTCGATCTCTAGCCAGCTCAATTTCAATTAAAAACTCAAACCTTTAATCGGCTTCCCAAACAATTTAATCATATTCATAATTTTAATAGCATAATCGGCATCCTCCTCACTCATAAATTCAATAAAACCAAATCCTTGATGTGTTCCAGTAATTCTGTCTTTTGGCATATTTACGCTTGTAACTGGCCCCGAATTGACAAATAATTCCCAAAGAATTGCTTCTGTTACTTTTTCATCTAGACCGCCAACATAAATTGTTGCATCTAAATTTTGGAATTTTTTTTGATTAAAATTTTTAAGGTTTTAAAAAGATGAAATAATGTAAGGATGAATCACCTAGAGCATTTAAAACGATTAGGCGGAGGTTAAAAATAGAAGCCCCGGTAGCTCAGTGCTCCTGTATGTGGTGAGCGAAAGCGACTAGCGATAACTACGAGGAGGTCGCAGGTTCGAATCCTGCCCGGTGGCCTAAACTTTTGCTAAGTTATATAGCTAGTTCAATAGCTAACAATAAGCTCTTTTCTAAAGAATTAAAAAAATTTCTGTATTTCTAATAGAAAATCATTACCTTGATTCCGTTCCAGAATAACTGCAGTCATTGAAGAATTTTATTAAAATTGGATTTCAAACGAAAATTAACCTAAAAAATAAAAAATACATTAAAAAATTTTAAAGAAAAACGAAAAATTTCCTGGTAAGAAAAACGGTGACACGACTTGGGCACAGTGATCCATTTGCACAGTAAGACTTTTGCACAGAGGACAATTACACAGTGGACAATTGCACAGTAAAGTCTTGTTTATTCGCAAAACGACCTACTCATTTATTCGCAAAACGCCTGTTTAGTCGCGAAACACTCCAAATAAACGCAAGGCTCATTCACCTATAGGTCATAACTTCGTTCAGAATCATCCAATCAAGATGATTTTGGTGTCAGCCGACTCAACTCAAACAGCTCTTTCGAATGAGCTATAATTTGCATCTTCGAATTTTTTACCCCAAAAAACCGCTTGGTTTACTATATTGTTTTTCGATTTTCGAGAGCCTATATCTCTGCAAGTTTTCGTCTCCCGCGAACAACTTTTCCAACAACGGGAAAAATTGCTTATAGAACAGGGAAAATTGTTTTTGTTTAAGAAAAACCATTTTATTATTAAAAAACTTATCAGAAAGTCTAACACAAATGCACTTAACCACAAATTACTGTGCAATTGTCCACTGTGCAGATGCCCAATGTGCAATTGTCTTACTGTGCAAATGGATCACTGTGCCCGTGTCGGAGCGCCAGAAAAACAATTTTTAACAAAATGAAACTTTAATTTAAAAATACATAATGCCAAACATTTATTTTTTTGATTGATTTTTATTTTTTAAAAATCCACGTCTTTTTCTCACTTTATCAGGATTTTTGTTAGATGCGAGAGAGTGGATGATACTACACATTATACATTTGCATATGAAACAAAAAATCCGGACAGGCCTATTTTTCACTGGTCACTAATTAAAATTTTACTTTTTTAAAGAGTTCCTACCCTCAATAATAAGCTTATATGATTTTCGGCTTGATTAGAGCTTATGATTTTCCTATCTAACAAGTTTTTCTGTTTTTGATTTAACTACAGAAACCAAATACGATCGAGACCGAGAGTCTCGACCATCAATTCTTTAAAAATAAATATGTATTCAAAAATAATAGTAGTGATGGTCGGGATTAAAAAAACCCCGAGAGTTGAAACCGAGAAGCAACCCCGAGACCGAAATCGAGACCGAGAGTCTCGACCATTATTTTTGCCTTTTAATTTTAAATTTTAAATAAAAAATCAATATGTCAGAAAGAATCCGGAAATCGAATTTTGACCATTCTATCAGATCCCGCCTAAATTTTGCTTCAAAAACAATCCTCAGATCACAGAAACCCTAAAACAGACCACACACTCCTAAAAATCGCCTAATCAAATCCAGCTCCAAACAAAATATTCCCAACATTTCCAACTTTTATTTTTTTTTATTTTAATTAAATTTTGCCTTTTAATTTTAAATTTTAAATAAAAAATCAATATGTCAGACTTCCTTTGTCTAAATTTACATTGTTGTCTCCCATCGAGAGGAATTTTAAAAATTTTTTTATGATTAACAAAGCATTTTCTTTATTCATTGTCTTGCCATTTAAATTCCCTTCCTTCATAATTTTATATATAGACAAAAATTTAAATTACCTCTTAATAAATATTAATTTTTAATAAATTGTTTAAAGTTTTATTAATTAAAAAAAATATATTTAAGTTATCGACATCAGAGGTGGGTCGGAATTCCGATTTCCGACGATTTTTTCTTTCCGATTTCCAGAAATTTAGGCTGATTTCAGATTTCCAAGTTCCAACTTTTGAGCCATTTCCGATTTCCGACAGTTCCGATTTCCGGCACCTTCATTATTTCCGACTCACCTCTGATCGACATAAAAATAAGGCAAGAGTAATTGGATCCATTTTCTCAGTTAAAAATTCTTTTAGAAACAAATTTTTTTATTTAATTAAATACTTGATTTAATTCTCAATTAGGCACTATTTGTTAGGGTTAGCTCCTATCTCGCCGGCTTCGATCCTTTCAATCTCATTCTTAGGCTCCAGTTCCAGAGTTATTCGGAACTGTTCCGAGTTGTCCACGGGCTTCGGTTTGAAGATTGCAATGTATTAGAATTATGACATATAGAAAAAGTTTAGCAAAAGTTTAGCCACCGGGCAGGATTCGAACCTGTGAACGCCTGCTACATAGTTGTTGCCAGGCGCTTTCGCTCACTATATACAGGTGCTCTACCAATGAGCTACCGAGGCATCGACCAATGCTCTCTCCTTTCCCTTTTAAATCTCTTAACCCCTGCCTAAGCGTTTTAAATCTCTAGGTGAAGCATCCTTTTAATATTTCCACCAGTCGGATTCAACTATACGACATTCAACAGTATAACATTCCCTTCTTCCGAGAGATTCGGAGATTCAATTAATTAATTTAAGGGTTAAAAATGCTCTTTATTTTAATTTTTCTTGTAACAAATTTATTTTGTTTAAATAAAATTTCTGCAATTAAACAACAACACGTGGAAAAAATAGCAGATTTTCTTTTGGTTAATGAAAACGTTAAAACAAAAGTTTATGTTGAAGGTTGGAATACTGAAAGAGGAATAAGCATAAATGTGGCAAAGAATTTCGAAATTGGTTTGAATGAAATTGAAAAAACTATGAGTGATAGAAAAGAGTTTGAAGATTTTTTAGAAAATACAAAAAATTTATTTAGATCCGGGGATGATGGGCGTGTTTTGATTGTTAAAAATATTTGGAGAAAAAATAAGGATTATAAAAAGGATTATTTGATTTTATCTTCAAATTATCAGAAAAAGCTTGGTAAGTAACAACAAATAGAAACATTTTTAAACACTGACTGGGTTGGTCGGATTCACCAGTTTCTTCAGTTAACCGAAATCAACAACCCTATACATGACTATTAGAGCTAGGAATTTTAAAAAAGCTGGGACCGGGTAACGGGTTCTGAAGATCGACCGGGAGAGACACGGACCGGGAACCGGGAAAACCCGTTCCCGGTTTCAACCCGGTTGCTTCTAAAAAACCGGGAAAAAGGACCCGGAAACCGGGTCCCGATCCCGTTCCTATCTCTAATGACTATACGTTATTTTAGAGATATTTTATCTTTACCACTAAAACTAAGGCGAATAATGATGTGTTTAAATAAAAGTTTCTTTGCGTCCTGCGACAGAAAATAACATTCAAATGAAGGAGAGAAAAATCGCCCGCGAGTTTCTTATCATTTTTCTTATATCGTTTTTCTTATATGTATATACAAGATATCGCACGCGTCTTGATACAGGGAGTGTCGCAGATGCGCGCGATAGCTTACAGATAAAATGTAATTTGATGTTGGAGTTGGAGTCAGAAAATAACAAAAAATCCTATCAACTTTCCCCTCTTATCATTCAAAACTAATCTAAAAACAAATTATTTAAAGATGCGCAATCATATTGTCTAACAAAATTTTTGTTCAACAAATACGGGGAAAGTTATTTTAGTTACAATATTGTTCCAAATTTAAACAGATGTTCAAACGAAGGTCTTGTAATTATGAATCGTTATAGTATTCGTAATAATGATAAATTAAATGTATTTCGATGGAATATAGTGAATAAAAACCCTATAAAAGAATTAAGTTTTAAGGAAAACACTGAAGAATTTATTCAACTTGATCGGTGCAATAAAATTTTCGAAATTAAGAGGTTATTCGAAATTAAGAGTTATAAGCCTTCAATTTGGTAAAGTCATAAAAGTCTTAAAATATTATCAGGGCAAACACAGCCCATAAAAATAAAGTCTTGACATTGAGTAAAAAATACATAGAGTCAATTTCTCTCACAAAGGAGAGTGTTTTGTGTGTCCGTGGGACTTCGGGATGAAATTTGGTAGACAGGTAGATTGCCAAATTTGAACCATTTTTGCAAAATGGTACCGGGGACCGAGTTATAAGCCTTCAAAATTTTAAGCGAGGCAATCCATCTGGGTCCAGGTCCTATAACTCAAGAAGTGATGGATACATTTTAATGTTCTTGATACCTTTGGATAGAAAATTAAATATACTACAAGATCGAGTTACAAACAGTGGTTGGAAGCTCGTACCAAAATTCGTGAAATCGAGTAGAGCAAAAAAATGGACAGACCCAGCTCGACTAGCCCTTTCGATTGACATATAATTTGTCCCAATCAGAGTCTGTTTAGTATTCCGAAATTATACCGAAAAAAATAAGGTCTGTACGAAGGTTGAGTACGAGTAAATTTCAAAATTCCAACCACTGGTTATAAGCTTAGTTTTGCAAAAATGTTCTGATGGAGCTTACAAACTGTTAAATTAAAATTAATTAAATTTCTAATTAAAAATCAACGGAGTCCGCAGAGAAATCACCCAAATCTTAACAGGAGCCTTAACTCTTAAACTACCTATTTTTATACTTAGTTGCTATGAAAAGGATGCAGATGGAGCTAAAGTTTTCAACTTTTCGAAACTTTACAAAAGATTCAATTCAGCACAACTATTTTTGAAAAATTTTCCAACAAGTAAATTCTAAATTTCCGGATTTTTCTTAATAAAATTTTTCGTCAATCTTAAAGATATTTTTAAGAAGGAGGAGATTACTCGAATTACTAAGCAATTTCTTTACCTTAAAGATATGAAATGTAATGATTGTTTAGAGGATTTTGAATTTGGCGAGAATGTTATAAAGCTTAAATGCAAAGTTTTTATTTAAATAATATTATTATTGAGAATCTCTTATATTTTAGCACATATTCCACAAGAATTGTCTTAAAAAATGGTAGGTATAATAACGATAAGTCTTAGTTGAGGAAGAGATAATGATTATTCTAAAAGAATAATACTTGAAATAAACATTACCCGAGAGTTTCTGTTCAGGGTTGGAGGCCCAATCCCAAAGGTCGAGTCGGGCATCGAATTTTGGCTCGAAAACGACTCGATGCTCGATTCGATAAAAATGAGGCCCGAGAAAATGACTCGAAAGTCGGCCCCACTCGAAAACCCCAACCCTACTTCTGTTTAAATACAGATTCCTGATATCCAGTTATTTTCTTGGAATTACCAAACTTAGTCTGTAGAGAGAAGAACATACCGTATTTACTGTATTAGAGCCCCATGGGGCTCTATTTTTCAACTATCCCGAAAAGGGGGGCTTTATTAAGGAGGGGGGCTCTAATTCAGACGGGGGGCTCTATTTTTCAACCTATTTTTTCAAATTAAGCAACAGGTTTTTCAAATTTATTTACAACCTAACTTTTGAACTAAAAATTTTAGCACAAAAAGTTAATAGGAAAAATTGATATTGCATGCAATATTTTCTCTTTTCTCCAAATTCAGGGTTTAAAAGTAATATCGAGGAATGTGGGATAAGAAGTATAACTGGTAATTTGTGAGGATTGAGGCATATAAGTGGATCAGGGGTTAAGAATTATATGAAGTAGGTGGATTAATTGATATAACAGGAAATTATTTAATAAGAATCTAGGGAGATATCGAGGAATTGGGACATTTTTATAAAAAGACATTTGCATAATTAAATTTTCGACCCCAAAATCAGCCTGATCCACCATACGGTTTTATCTTGATGATAAAATTTGTTAGAGAATTTAAAATTACCGCAGCTGCGGATATCATCGAGTTCTGGGTCGATTTATTTATAATCGGGTTGACTCTCAGCTCGGGGTTCTATTACCCGAGTAAGAGAACTTGTTAAATTTACCAAAGTTTTTCTACCCCATTTTTATAATACGATGTCTACCGATATCCACGTTAAACCTCCGATATCCTCTTTTCATCCTTCGATATATGATAACACGGTATATCCCCTAAATCAATCGATATATGATTTAATTTCTTAGAACCTGCAATTTTAATTTTAAAATCTGCAAACGCAATCGTCAATTGCGGAAGCCCTGTTCACCAGTCATTACTAATTTTCTCGCTAATTTATATAATCGGTATTTTTTATCGGTCGGGATCCAGATACCGCTCACCCTATTAAAAACAAATCAATGTATAACAGACTAGGTTGTAAATTATTTATTTTACATCTGATAAAAAAGGGGGGCTCTGTTAAAGAGGGGGGCTCTAATACAGACGGGGGGCTCTATTTTTCAACCACTCTCCAAAAGGGGGCTTTATTAAGGAGGGGGGCACTAATTCGGAGGGGGGCTATAATACAGGAAATACGGTATTTTAAGGGGCCTTATTTAGATGGATGCAGAGAGGTGTTTTTCAATCGTTCTTCAGAACTGTCCTATCTGGGTCGCTATTTTAGAGGGAAACTATTTTAGAAAATTTATGGTACATACCGTATACTCTATTAATTACCTCCCTCAAATAATTACCCCGATTCTATTAATTACCCTTTACAGAGAGGGGCCGAAACTATAATTACCCAGGGTAATTAATAGAGTATATAATTAACAGAGTATTAATTTAAAAATTAATTTTTCAATTTAGGTTAATTGAAGGAAAAAAGAACAATTGTCCTTTTTGTCACTACGAGCTTAACAATCTTTCTCAAATCAAATTAAAGTTAACAATTGAAGGTAAAAGGAAAGAAAATATTATTAATACGGTCAAACCTCGAATTTATAAACCACTTTTGGCTTTGTATCTTATAACGAGAGGAGTAATTTAACCCCAATCACGACACTTGCAGACCCAACATTTGCAGACCCAACATTTGCAGATAATATTGGCACGACTATTGCAGATCTGACTTTTGCAGATTAGACCTATTTCGCTCTCTTCTTAGATCCACCCAATACAGGTTGGTAAAAATCGGATTTGAGAAATGGGACTACCCAGAAGACCTAGAATAACATTATATCTGCAATTGTTCGTCTGCAAATGTCGGTCTGTAAAAGTCGTCAGCAAGTGTCGGTTCTGCAAATGTCATATCCGCAAGTGTTGTGACACGATTTAAATTCGAGGTCCGACTGTAAAAGATTCCCATTACTTTCAATTTTAAGAGTTTAATGTAAACGGGGTTACTTTAATTAATGATCAATTGCATTATCTTGAAGTAGAGGAATGTTCTTTATGTTTAGGGAATTATAAAATTGAAGAAAATGTTATGCTGCTTGATTGCAAAGTTTTTAAATATTTTTTACAGACAATCTATTTTATATTTTAGCATATATTTCACGCAGGTTGTCTTAAAAAATGGTAGGATTAATCTTTTTAAAAAATATTACCAACTTTTTTTCTAATAATAAATATTCATAATAATGAATTTTTCAAATTCAAACTGATTAATTCTCCTTTTATTCGTCTTTTACATTTAAAAAATTAATTTTTAATTAATTCATACTTTGATAGCCTGGGCCAATAGGAATTGAAAAAATTTGGTTCCCCCTCCGGGGGTTTTCAAAATCTTTTTGGAGGCGGGCTCCAGAGCTAGCTCCAGGAACCATACCCAACACTGCACCCTAGATACATTCTATTCTGTCTCACATATTCGGCGCTTAGTCATATTCCTATGTACGCAACCTATTGTATTTTTTATTGAAGATAAAGCAGCTGTTAGTTACTGTCTTATCTTGATGTTATTCTTGTTAGTACGTAGACATACAAGTCACGTACATAACATATTCCAATCCAAGGTATAACATTTGGGGCCTCTGAGTGTCATAGAGATCGCCCAATGGAGAATTACTTTGCGGTTAAAAATCTTGTCTTTTCCCACAAGCGTATCTTGAATTATATCTAATATGGGGGTATCCTATAGTGAGTTCCGTCTGTGGTTTGCTTCATTTAAGGATAACTTTTTATTTTAGGCTAATTGGTAAAAGACAGAAAACGTGCCCT